GTCTTCAGGGAGCGGAATCGCTTTCCTGACCTCAACAGAGAGAACAGTCTGTTGTTGGGATGGCTGAGGTCCTTCACCATCTTCCTGGCCTTGGTCCAGCACCGCCTGCTGTAGATTGAGTGCAGGTCAGGGAGCTCGGAGCGGATGGTAATAATCTCCCTCGATCTGGGGCTCCACGCAAGATCTCATCCCGTGGGGTCAAAATGATCATGAGAACAGTGAGCAAAGATCCCAGAACCACACGGGGGGACCTGGTGAATGACCTGCAGAGAGCTGGGACCAAAGTAACAAAGGTCACCATCAGTAACACACTACAACGGCAGGGAATCAAATCCCGCAGTGCCAGACGTGTTCCGCTGCTGAAGCCAGTGCATGTCCAGGCCCGTCTGAAGTTTGCCAGAGAGCACATGGATGATACAGCAGAGGATTGGGAGAATGTCATGTGGTCAGATGAAACCAAAGTAGAACTTTTTGGTATAAACTCAACTCGTCGTGTTTGGAGGAAGAAGAATACTGAGTTGCATCCCAAGAACACCATACCTACTGTGAAGCATGGGGGTGGAAACATCATGCTATGGGGCTGTTTTTCTGCCAAGGGGACAGGACGACTGATCCGTGTTAAGGACAGAATGAATGGGGCCATGTATCGTGAGATTTTGAGCCAAAACCTCCTTCCATCAGTGAGAACTTTGAAGATGAAACGAGGCTGGGTCTTCCAACATGACAATGATCCACAACACACCGCCCGGGCAACAAAGGAGTGGCTCCGTAAGAAGCATTTGAAAGTCCTGGAGTGGCCTAGCCAGTCTCCAGACCTCAACCCCATAGAAAATCTGTGGCGGGAGTTGAAAGTCCGTGTTGCTCGGCGACAGCCCCAAAACATCACTGCTCTCGAGAAGATCTGCATGGAGGAATGGGCCAAAATATCAGCTACTGTGTGTGCAAACCTGGTAAAGACCTATAGTAAACGTTTGACCTCTGTTATTGCCAACAAAGGTTATGTTACAAAGTATTGAGTTGTATTTTTGTTATTGACCAAATACTTATTTTCCACCCTGATTTATGAATAAATTCTTTACAAATCCTACCATGTGGATTCATGGATTTTTTTTCCACATTCTGTCTCTCACAGTTGAAGTGTACCTCTGGTGCAAATTACTGACCTCTGTCATCATTTTAAGTGGGGGAACTTGCACAATCGGTGGCTGAATAAATACTTTTTTGCCCCACTGTAGATCAAGGTTAGCTGCTGTACGATAATTGTAAGCGACACAGAGACCCGGCATGCGTGCAGGTTTGGTCTCCGTACGGCGGCGTAAAGGCTGTTTGATGACACGTGACCAAGAAAACAGGACGGTGAGCAGCTGTACGTCCGCCTTTCACACCGCGTGAAAGAGAAGAAAGAGTCGGTGCGGGAGGAGGAGGAGTGGAACTGCAGGAATGTCTTTCACATGCAGAAACGTTTTGTGTGTGTTGCCCTGCAGCTGACCTCTGACCTTTCACCTCTGACACTGTCCTGTAATCAGACCTTTCTGTCCACATGAATGCCATATAAACTGAGCATAATGAAAAGTAAATCTTTGCCCTGTTGTAGTTCTTAAATCAATTTTCTTCTTTCCACTCATGGCCGGATTTACCTCCTGAGGGGCAAAGATTTCTTCTAGGGCCCCTCGTGACCCCCTTTTATTATTTCCCCAGACGTCCACAAAGAAACCGGTACAGAAAGATTAACTGACGTGTCAATTGACAGAAAATCAATGTGCACCACTGTGATAAGTGAATTATTGTTTAACCCTGATCATTCATCCCCTATTTCTTACTAACAAAGACCAGAAGCTTGGGAGCAGTTTGTTCGTTGGGCTCTTACAGTGAAGACAGTGAACAGCAATCAAGAGGCTTTGTGCTTTCAGGTGATTCATAATTGAGACTGATGCTTGTAAAAATACATCATCTGGTCTGTATTCAGCTTGGAAGCGTTAATGAATCATATTTAAGGAGAAATGCCTCAAAATCACAGCTCTCTTCAGCCCAGATGAAGCCTTTGTTTTCTGTCTTTACACGTTTCCTTTCTGTGATCGTTTGAAGGAATGAATGCACAGAAAACCTGGGGAACCTTGTCCTGCAAAAAAGTATTGTTCAAATGCGAGACATGTCTTACCAACCTGTACTGGTCTTTTGTGATAAAGAGAGAGAAGCCTAAAGGAGAAGCTGGTCAATTCACCAAACGAACAACGTTACAGCGGTCGGTGATGACCGCGAGCTGCAGGCAGTGACTGAAGGAGTGAGATCGTGTGTATAAGCAGCAGAAACTAGCTTCCTGTCCAGGCTCTCTGTTAGAGGTAGGGTGAGGAGCACAGAGCTGCTAGTCCTCAACATTGAAAGGAGCCAGATAAGGGGGATGAGGCATCTTAGATCTCGAGGCCTCCTGAGATCCTCCAGGTGAGGGGTTTGGGGCATGTCTGGCTGCGAGGAGATCCACTGATAGTTGGATATTGTTCAAATTTAAGATGCATCTTTGAGTGTGTCTAATTTTACCCCTCTCTTGTTCATCTGGATTCTTAAATATTATAAATAGAGAAGCAGGTAGACGTGGGCTTTTGCACAAAGCAGCAACAGAGTGGAAGAGTTAAGTTCCTGAGGACTCCAGGAAATACCTGAGTCACAACGACGGGCGGGCTGCCACTGCTCTGTTTCTCTCCATGTGCTCGACACCCTGCTGCAGAGGATTAAACATAACTGCCAGTAGAACGAATGAGAGCCATAATGCTTGTAGAGACAAAAATCTTGCACTTTACTCTTAAATTCTGCAAATGTATATGCTGATATCTGGCCACAGAAGAAACATACGCTTTCAATTACTATGTGCCACATGTTGCTTTTTCATTTTTGAAGTCCAGATTTTTCCAGGTGCTGGAGTGAGCGTTAACTGGTTATAAGAACATGTACATTATATCTGAGTAAACACATTCCTGAAGTCAGAGTTTAATATTATGATTAAAGAATGCAGAAGTATTAAATGTTTCCATCCAGGAAACGGTTTGCAGGCATTATTTTCCCCTGTAAAAAAGTTTTTCAGTGAGGTTTCGCTAATTTAATTGCCTCATTGCTGATTATTTCAGCTCTTGAGTGTTGATTAGTGTGCTTTTGGTATCTGTGGAAATAATGTCATGTACAGTTGGGGTTCACAGGGGCACACACACCCCTTTGGGGGGTTAATCCAGCTTCTGGTTTCAGGGTCGTAGTGACGTTTGATGAATGACCCTGAAGACTGAATTGAACCTGCAGGGGTGGAAGACTTTAATGAAGTGTAAAAATCCAAAAAATGTAGTTACGTTTTCACAAATTAAGCTGATGTCTGTGTTTTTGGGTGGATACAGTGCAGATGTTGACTTTTTGAGCAGGAGCTCATCTGACTGGCTTATATACTTTTGGGTAGTTTAATCTATAAAATTATATACAAATAATTTTCACCTCGGATGAGAGGTGAAACGTCTTCAAGCAACTTAAAGAAGTCCAGACGCTTTTCTTTGCAAGCTCCTTTGACTACGATGACCTGGATGACTGAGAACCTTCACAGACATACAAATAATTAAGATTTTTTTATATAAGAAACTAAAACTAATCTAGTGAAGTAAAACATTTCCTTTAAACGGTAATAAAACAAACTGTAAGAAATGTAACGTTCAAATTACAGGAGATTAAACTGTTGTTTTACAGTCGTTCTACTCTAATCTACTGCTTTCTTACTGTTGTATAGTATTATATTGTCAGTGCACTGTAATAATACTGCAAAAATACTGTAAAATGTAAGTGCAATTCATCAGCCAAGTACCAGGAGTGTTCACAGGATTTTTTTTTAAGTCAGAGCTAAGTACCAACCCAGAACACATGAGCACACCAGGAGAGAATGTGAGTGAGTTATTCAGACCTCTGACTTCCATATGGATATGGTGTTATTGGAACTAAACATAGCTGTAAATATGTTTGATTTTATTGCACAGTAGAAGTAAAGAGAATTAAAAATGTCAAAATGTGCCGTTTTGTGCTGTAAAATGAACAAAAAGCTTTCAGTACGTAATGTTATGTGCAGCGATTCTTTAGCCCTTCGTTGTTTCAAACAGAATGACAAAAAAGACATCCGGTTGCGTGAGAAAACAGTTTTCAGCTCCTTAATCTGTGACTTTAGAGAAAAACTTCTCAGTGAGTTTATGGTCTCATCTGGTAGTTTTAAGTTTTACTGAATCCAATATGGCATTCACTTTGCAGATTATGGTCCCAGTTAGAGTCAGACGGAAATGTAAAGGCAGGTTCTTGCAGGCGTGACTTTTCCTTTGGTTTCACTTTCAGTTAAAGCAGAAGTCCATAGTTTCGGGGCTTAGATGGGATTTTACCAACCAAGCTGTGTGCTGTCCCTGTGTGAGTCGTCCCTCGTTGAACTAAACACAGCACAAGTAAAATCATACCTGTAAAATAGCCACTTAACATCCATGAAGTTATCAATAACCCGCCTGGGATTAAATTAAGGTCAACATCAAGTCTTTTCAGTCATCATGGACAGAAGACCTTTAAGACCAAAATGCACAAAACAGTTATCTGAAAGCTCTGATCTTTCTTAAAAGCTACAACCAAAACCTAAAGAGGTCACAGGTGACGTGATAGCAGTGATGTTGTTATTGTACAACTGTTTTTGAAAGATTTTTTCTGATTTAGGTGTTTAGAAAAATCGTCTTAAATCATCTCAAAACCACTGATCCTGGTCTCTAAAATGTAAAGATTTGAATTTACTTTAATGGAAACTTATCATTTTTCCTTGTTTTTGCTTGTTTAAACCCTTTGAATTCAATTATTTGGCATGTAACTGAAGAGGAGACACTTGAACCATCATTTAAGGAGATAAGCTGGACGGATTTTGGTTTCATTTTCTTCAAGAAGCCACAACTTGAGGTGTAAATCAAGCTGTTACCTGCAGAAAACACACAAGAAGGCAAAGAAAGCTGTTTCTCAGTTTGGTCTTTATTTTTTATTTTATTTTTTTATTTGGACATTTAGCAAAATACTGCAGAAACATCCAAAGCAGTATAAGAGCTAAGGGTTACAACAAAACCAAAATAAATAATCATCATCATCATCATAATAAATTAAAACATGATTGCATTCGGTTTGTCTTCAGGAGCGGCTCACTGATTGCTATAATGCCACATGAACACGCCGCCCTCACATAAGTTAAAGGAAATAAAAAGGATTTGGCTACATGATGAAAAAACACAGCGACAGATCACAGGTTCGACCACACAAAGCAGTAACTTACACAAATAATTTAATAAATACATAAATAAATAGAAAAAAGATTAGATATACTGTATACTGGTAATACAGAAGGCTTTGTAGAAAATAATTATCATCATATGCTCAGCCAGTGATAAATAAAAACAATCAGGTCAGTTTAAGGCAGTTTTACAGCAGGAGTCTCTAATCCAAAGGCATTACCGGCTACACTAGTTTTACTCTCTTTTGTTTTCAGTCGACAGCTACTGATCCACAGATCCACGAGCTATGTTAAAGCTAATCAGAGTGATGAGATAAGGTCTGTTCAGGCCTGCGAAGTCTGCTTTATATCCTACAGGTCATCTCCTCTCTTAGGTCTAGGAGCTAATAGCACTTGTGCAGAGATGCTAGAAAAATAAATTAACAGTCTAACGTTTTTTTTTTAAAGAGCTTTGAGGATCATTTTAAGTGATGTTGGGGTGGGCGTGGGTGTGGGTTACAGGCCAGGAGGAGTCAAACACACACACACACCCAGAGGTTGCTGAAGTGTCCTCGAGCAAGGCACTGAAACCTTGCAAGCTGCGTGTGAGTGGATATGTGAGAGCATGCTTGGCTCTCTGTTTACCACAGAAAATGTGAATTATTTGACGATAATTTTTACTCGAAAAGACACAAATAAGCACATTTTTCACGTGTCTTTGAGGAAGATTGGACTTCGGTGTGGTTTTGTCCTTTGGAGATATATAGCTACAGTGAAACAGAATTACTCCCAGAGTTACAACTTCTCACAAACCTCTTTACATCTGTTACTCAGTTTAAGGAAGTGTGCTTTAGGGTACAGATGTTTTTTATTTTTCAGTGGAACTCTGAAATCCTAAAAACAAAAAGAAACACGCGGGTGGACTCTGATTCCCGGTGTGTGCCAGTCCACAGTTCGGGATCAGCAGGCGGGGCGGAGCGGCATCTGCAGCAGGATCACCTGCCGGTTCTCGGACGGGTGGCATTTGTTGATGTGCCTCGTGAGTCCCGGTGAGCTGTAGAAGACTGCGGGGCAGTATTTGCACGAGTACACCTGTGAGGAATGCAGCAGGCGGATGTGCCGCTCCTGGCTGCCTCTGCTGGTGAAGTTCTCCCCACACACGGGGCACAGGTGGCAGCAGGAGGCGCTCAGGTTGAGCGGCGCCGCGCTCTGCTCGCAGCCCGCCGCGTCCTCCTCCGCCGCCGCTTTTGGGGACCCGTGCTGCGACGCCAGGTGTTTCCGCAGGTAGGCTTGGCGCTTAAACCTCTTCCCGCACTGACTGCAGTCGTACAGTCCGTCCTCTGAACCGGACTCGGACGGCTCGGGGCTGGGTGTGTCCCTGTCACTAGAATCCTTTGCTTCATCCGAGGCCGTCTTCGACGCGGACACCTTGTCGCTCGGCGTATTTTGCGGCTTCGGTTTGTGCCAGCGCCGATGGGAGGCGAGGTTGGCCGGGCAGCTGAACACCTTGTCACACTCGGGACACCGATACTCAACCCGGACTATCCTGGAGCATTTGTGCTGCGCCAAAGCGAACGGGTCTGCGTACGCCTCCCGGCATAGCTGGCACACAAACTCCCCCAGCGGGACGTGGTCTCCTCCGGCCGGTGGCGCTCGGGGAGGTTTCTGGTCCACCGGCGCCTCTTTAATCTTCAGCCCGAGAACCGGAGACGTAGTGACATCATCCTCAAAGTGCAGTTTGCGGATGGCTTTGGTTTTCTTGGACGGCGGCTTGCCTTTGCGCTCGGCGTCGTTGGCGCAGCGCTTGGAGCCACCGGTTGCAGCGGCGGGGAGCGTCCCGGCGGATGACGAGCTGCTCTCGGGGCGGCTGCTGTTGCTGGAGCCGATCTTCAGGTCCACCGGGGCGAAGAGGTGATCCAGGGCGGTGATGGCTGCCGGTGTGGGAAAAGACTCCGCGGAAACCGGCGAGCCGAGGCTGAAGCGGGCCTCGGAGTAGGAGCGGTCGTGCTCGTGGCTGACGGGGCGGGTGGGCTGTACAGAGACTGATACACCGCCTCCGGGTTCCCGAACTGCACGGCTTAGCATCCGGCTCCGGAGCCGTAGCCGCCGCCCCGCAGGTGGGCGTAGGCGTCAGCGCGCGCACCGGGATGGAGACGAGATGCGCTGAAGAGGAGGAGGAGGGCGGCAGCAGCGGCGGAGCATCAGCCGCCGTTTGGTCCGTTTCTTCGTCCTCGGAGCGGACCCGGTAGGACACCGGGTTGGTTTTCTTGTTCCTTTTTACCAGGAATCCTCTGGGCATGTTTGCGGGGAGCTGAAGGCACTTTGGGCGCTGCGGGAAGAAGAAAACCACTTTCAGCCGCTCGCGCACAAAATCAAACCATCTGATGCGTCTTTTTTCTCTCTGTTTGTTTGTTTCCTCCTGCTATTGATCCCGTGTTCTCCTCTCGAGGTCCTTTCACCACAACATAGCTGCACTCTTTTTAAGGCGACATGATGACATTGTTCCCGTCCCCCCCTCGTTGCCTCATCCCCGACCAATCAGAAGGAGCCGAGGTCCCCTGTGGATTTGGGGAGTGGGTGTGGGAGGATGGAGAGGCTGATGGAAGCTAGGAGGAGGAGGGCGGATTTGCAGATTGCAAAGCAGATGTACCTGAGGGTTTTATTGTATTTCCCCCCACCACACACACACACACACACACACACACACACACACACACACACACACACACACACACACTCACTCTCCCTCCTCCTCGTCTCGACCCGGGCACACGCCAGGAGTCTCCTGCTTTTACGGTCTGATGAGTTTGTATAGAAATCTACACGTGCCTCGGCTTTATGTGTCTCTTTCTGGGGGTGGTGGGGTCTCTGGTTTGGCTACAAAGGGGGCATATCCGTCCACATAACGGCCCAAAGTAACAATACAGAAAAATGGAAGGTAGGGGAAGAAACTTCAAAGGGCTAAAATGCGCATAATAGGGAAATAAAGTACAAATGCTCAACATCATTTTAAGCAAATGTCAGTGAAAGCAGCTCCAGACTTTAACTGCTTCCATTCAAAACCTTCAGAATGTTTAAGACACTCATAAAGACTTCCGGGGAAACAAACTTCCCCGAGATCAGATCTGCAGTCCGGCTTTTACGCACACGAAAGCCAGCTGAAATTCGACCTCAGCGGACAAATAACTAAACATCCACAATAATAGGGACAGATTTGAAACCACCGTGGCCCTGCAGCATGTGCGCTGGCGTGACAGTTAACTCCGGACATATGAATCCGTCATTTTACGCATACATAATTAATGGCGAGCGGAGGGTGTCCTGCTTTGCATCACAATGGTCGCGCTTGTGCAAGCTGTAGACCCGTCCTGATTGAAAAGGAAATTGCACAGTTGAAAAAAATGGAAGATGAAGAAGAAGTGGGGGTCTACCCCCCCCGGCACACAAAAAGCAATCTGGACCCTAGATACTGTCGGCGCGTGCTGCGCGTAATCAGTGCGCTTTTTCTGTCTCCAAATGGGGCAAAGCGAGGTTATCTGGCCGTTAAACCACATCAAACCCCGCAGGTCCAGTCTGACCCGGTCAGTCGGATGTGAGTCTGTCCTGCACCGTGAGAGATGATGCTCCCATCATCTCTTGTCTGTCGGTGCAGGGCTCGAGGACACGTTTGACAGGTGCAAGATTCTGGCGTAAAATGAAGACGTGAGAGAGATGTCCGGAAAGTCTTTTCACTAACCCGTTTCAAATTTTGACTGTTGGCGTGTCCAAACTGAGAGCATTCAATAAACACGCGTCGTTTCTTGTGTTCTGGTCTTTTTTATGAAAAAATCTACATCTGTCTCTTACGAATATTTAAACCCACATTTTCCTAAAACAACATTCAAAATAATGTGTGTCCCTTTAAAATCCACGTGTTTCGAGAATTTTCTTTAATCAGTTGTTATCGTTTTTAATTTTTAAATGTTCCTCGGGTAGAAGCAGGCACATGCCTCCAAATGTTTAAAAAAAAAAACAACAACAACTAGATTTTCTGATAAAAAAAAAAAGCTCACATCTTTTAAAAGTGAGATTTTTTATCCAGTGGGAGCTGTGTTAAAAAAATTATAGTTAAACTTTATTTATAAGTTATTTCACCCATAATGCTCATTTCATGATAACAGGGAGTGCAGGTGGATAATGGTTTAGCAGTAACAGGTCAGCGCACAAAATGAACTAACATCTATACAAACACTGCAAAACTCTCATTGAGCGCCGTGTACAGTGTGTGTTTATTACCACGGACAGCGCATTGTGATATCCACGCAGTGAAGCTGACACTTAAAGTCACTCAGCGTTTCATGTCCTACAATCTGACTTTATATTTCCACACAAGCAGCGTGCTGTTTTCTCAGCTTGCGGGTTCAGGCATATGTTCTCTGTGTGCGTTAGTGAGTGTGTGTGCGTGTTGGAGTGTGCGTGTGTGTGTGTTACTTTCCCGACAGGCTTCAGCTCAGCCTCATTAGCATACAGCTGTAGAGTGACGCCCTCCTCATTTCCCCTCCTCCTCCTTCCAAAAAGCCAAACATCCACTTTTATGTGCAGCATCTATAGGGCCCTGTGATTGGTCACACTCCTGCAGAGTCACACTTACAGTTGGCACATTGTATAGAAGAAAAAACAAAACAAAACAGGAATGTAAAAGTATGCCAGACTCTCGTTCTCATCTGGTGTAAAACACTGCTCACACTCTGATTAATGAGAGATCTTAAGGATTAAAAAGGAAATTATCAGATGTCCACACAAGAAAAATGAATGCAAGCATTAATTTAATGGTAATAGCGTTAAAAGTTAGCCAGAACTCTTACACAAAGAAAGTTTTACTGGATTAGACCACTCTCTCTCTCTATCTCTGAAAACAATTAAAATAACATTTATTTGATGGAAAATTTTTGGATTATATTGATTAATCGAAGCAATCTAAGAAAACACATATTTTTTAACCATTTGATGGAAAACAAATCAGTAGTGTTAATCAGTGTTTTGGTGTGAGTAATCCAGTTTGGAGACGCTGACTGTCTGTTTGCTTTCTCTGAACATAACAGGACTAAAAAATGTCATGTGACTCCTGACTGTGTTTTTGTGCTGAGCTGCTGATTTTAAAAATTTCTCCAGGACTCTAAAGATCTGATATAATAATATATTTACACATAGCAGACACAGTGTCTCCACAGCGTTCCTGAGCCAGCTCAAATGATTGGAGGTATCCAGTGACACATACACAATATAAACCAGTTACCACACCTCAAACAGAGTCTGATTTGTTTTAGTATTTTAACAGGCGTGAGGTCAGAGCTGGCCCGGGCAGGCGAACATGGGCAGCAGGTTTCGGTTGTAACTCAGATACTTCACAGCACTGCTCCTCAGAGCCGCTCGACTGTCCTCGTCTTTCAATTGGTCTGGAGGGCAGAGGTCCTGCAGAGACACACAGGTGGAGAGTAAAATCTCAGCACTGCACTGAGAGAGCTTCTTTTTTTCCACAGACCAGCAGGTTCTGATCGGTGCCCGACTCAAAGTGTGCCGGAGAACTCTAAGCTCGCGCTGAAGGTGTGATCGCTGTGGAGAACTGATGTGAGGAGACATGTAACTGACTCCATCCAACCGAGTACTTAATGCTTCATTCACTAAATTTTACTTCTACAGCACATTTAAAATCAAAGTATTTTACACTAAAATAAAATAAACAGGTTCCTAAAAAAGACACTACAATCTGTCTGAGGACATCTGGGATGTCTTTCCGGGGTTTCAGTGTAACAACAGCAAAGGCACAAGCTCGCTCTGACTGCTGGATGATCAGGAGTGACTGAAGAGCAGATCTTAATGATTTTATTCAGACAAAAGAAAGAAAGACTCACCCGAGCTCTGACCAAAACACTGGATGAACGTCTCAATAGAGAAAACATCCCTGATGTTACCACACAGAACTTTTAAGAAGTTTAAAACACGCTTCAGTCTGGAAATTTGCAGGAAAACATGAACGACTGTTTCACATGGACAGCAATAACAATCTGATTTCAGCCGGCAGGGCAGCAGGACGTGGAAGTTCCTGCCTCAGTCTCAAAATTCTTCACCTTCACAAAGGCCACGTGCAAAGATTTAACCGTGCATCGTAACCAATACAGTTTAACCCTCAGAGGGGCATAAGTGTGATGTAGGAGATGAGAAGTGGAGCACCAACCTTGAGTTTGAGGGTCTGCTGAAGCTCCTGCTCTAAATCGGAGAATCTGTCGTGGAAAACGGCCAAACAGCTGCTCTGTGTGAAGAAACTGGAGAGAAAACCTTTACATCAGTGCTTCGGTTCAGCACCAACAACCAGAGGTTTTAAGGGAAAAGGGTGCACCCGAGTTATAACATTGACAATAACAACTGTTTCAAATCTAGATTATGTCAGAAGCTTAAATCAGAATCTGATTCCATTGCCCTGCATCTACATAATGTAGAGGTTAATTTCCACCACTGGAAACTTTCTTTGTGTGAACCGACTGTTTACATAAAAGCTCAGTGAAGCTTTGAAATAAAAACACACACACGCACACTTCCAGAAGCTTCCCTAAGTGTGTCGGCTGAATAAGCCTCAGCCGCCACACGGTCAATCAATTATCTTAACGGCTCCTGATGCTCCGTCAGCCTCCACAATGACTTTACGAGTCAGCTGACTGAGCAGCATGATGGGGAATCGGCCTCTGTGGTTGCGAGGCTCCAGCTTTGTCTCGTCCTGGACCGACCACAAAGACAGATTGGGGAGCTGCATAAACAGATTAGGAGGTGGTGGTGGTGGGGGGACAATAGCCCTCCATGTCTGGGGGTCATTTGTGTTGAAACCTCAGAAGCAGGTCACCCACTGCTTGACAAATACCTACTCACTGGATAGTCATGCCAACAAACACACACACACACACAAAGTGAGAGGACAAAGGCAGCGGAGGCCCGAATCTTCCTCGTGTGTTGAAGTGATCGGTCAGCGGTTACATGACGTCAAAGCGGCTTGTTTCTGTGCAGAACTCAGTTATGAAAACATCTGTTTTTACACAGCTGCCCACCTGCCGTCTGCCTCGTTTCAGTGCCAAAAATCACACATCAAAAAGTGAAAAACAGCAGCGTGAGTTCTTCTGCAGTCACTTACATGCATACCTGAAATTATACTCCTGCAGAGGGCTGGACAAAATAACAGAAATGCTGTATAAAAAACACAATAACCATGTAGGAAACACCAATCTGCCGAAGCTGCTTTATTATTCTCTCGACGACATACTGAAACCAGACATCGGGCTCTTCACCAAACTGCTCATTTCTGCCAGTCTAATCAGAGTGTGGGATGTTTTGCCGTTTATTCGCCTGCTGCTGCATCAGTCCTGACAAAGACTCGAGCAAAAACATTGGACAAAAGATCGGATTTTTATTTTTGTCCTTGTGAGGATTTGTTTTTACAGTGCGAGTGACTGATTATGCTCCCTCGAATATGTTTATGCACTATACTTAAAAAGTATAAGCATGAGAGTTAAAGAACAACCGTGGTTTGCTAAAAGACATCGGCAGCAGAATGTAAATGACCTTCGAGGATAGTGGTGTTTGTTTGGAGGAGGAAATATTTCTTCTTCACTTAAAGATAACAAATACTCGAAGAGCTCTCGCTTTTGGTTTGACCTCCACCTGCTGTCATGTAGATAATCCCAGCAGCCTTGCTGTTACCACAGTATTACTAAAGCTGCAAAAAGAACTTCAAACTAACAAAGTTTCACGTGTAAGCAGGAAAAGAAATGAAGTTTTGAAAGGTTAAACAGGCTTCAAACCTGAGGGCTGAAAATGAAAATACAGAAAACTGCAGTTCCTCTAATGACCACTAGAGGCTGGCTCCAAACACGAGTCAGTCTAGGTTTCCAGTAGAAATTGGGTATGCGTTTACTGCCTGATGTAAAACACCTCTGGTGTTGGTTCTGTTGGGTCCTTTTTAGCCATTTTAATAGAATCTTAAAATGACATAATATGACTTTCTGTTTTGCCAGACCACCCAGGGAGGTTGTGATTTAGTTTAGGAAAATCTGGCATTTTATTTGTATGTTACTTTGCAGTAACCAGCAGGTGTGTGTGTGTGTGTGTGTGTGTGTGTGTGTGTGTGTGTGTGTGTGTGTGTGTGTATACATAAGTGTAGATTTTTGGGGGAGGTGCACAAATCCTGGTGAAAAATGATTTGGGGGTTTGTTTTTATATAAATTCAATTAAAACTGACCTGCTATGCTTTTACTTATTCAATATATATTTCATGCTAGCGTGTATACAAATAATATGGGCAGATGTTCAGTAAAACAGTATTTGTCAGTGTTTGTCCCACCTGTACAGATCAGGGATCAGGCCCTGCTGGTAGCAGCTCAGCAGCTGGCCCAGCAGCTGCTGATGTTTCATGTAGAGACTCAGGTAATTGGAGACGGGGAGAGGCTTCAGGGACAAGCAGGTGAGCGTCTCCACAAGCTCATAGCAGTCAAGATGCAAGCAGAAGTAGTCGCCTCTCTCCGGCTGTCCCGTCACAATTGCTCTGTCCTGTAACTTTGGATGGAGGAACACGAGCACTGATCTCTGGTTCCAAGTTATAATGCAAATCTTCAAAAGCAAATCAAAATACTTGAATAGTCAATTAAAAATAATATCAACTAAAAACACTAGAAGATGATTAATAATCTGAAAAACAAAAGTCGATTAACGGCCACATTAATTTTTAATCAATAAAAAAAGAAAAAAGTGTGTTGTATTCAATACCACAATTCAATTCAATTTTATTTATATAGCGCCAAATTACAAAAATAGTCGCCCCCATTTAACAGGAAGAAACCTGTTGCTTTCTTGTTTCATTTTGCTTTTCGGTTTTAAGTTGAAATAACATCAGAACATGTTGTGTTAATCAGGAATTAAATTTCTTAATAAATATAATCATTCCCAGGTTACATGTTTGACATGAAACACCCAGAGATTGAACTCCTGGGCAGTGAGTGCTTACCTGTTTAACTTTAGGGCCTGTCAGGTCTGTTGGAGATGGTTTGGTCACATGCAGGTAGTGATATCCTCCAGGAAGCTTACCACCTGAGGAGAGAGCAAAACACATGACACACGTTAAGATATTTCCAGATATTTATTTATTACCCCGTTATTCCATGAGTATTACCAAGCTGTTATAACAGTATAAAGTACTCACAATACCTCAGCTTTACCTCAGAGAACTTCTGATGCACATTTTATAATACGAGCATTTAATCAGAAAATTGTTTGCGGGATAAATATTATTTATAATCTAACAAACCAACACTTAGAAAACACTGCAGTGAAAAGCCTGTGGTCTTATCAGCGGGAGATATCTCAGTAAGATTAGCTTCAGTGCTGAAAAATTCTGTGGCTTCGAAAATTGGACAGCAGCAAAAACATCATAACAGGCATTTCACTGTTAGCATCCACCCACTGAGGAAAACACAACTGAGACAATGAACTCAGATAACAGCCGCTGATATGGCGTCTGTGCTCTCCCTGAACGCTGAGATCCCTTTGAAAAGTTCACGTGTGTTTCATCTCTCTGAGGAGGGCGAAGCAGAGAGGCTGTCGTGTTTATGTAACCCGCCGAGTGGCCTTGGTCGCTCGGTGAATGCGCTGCAGCACAATGCGGCATTGTTACGGCAGCTATAATTCGAGTGTCCGCCACAATAACATCGGCGCTGGGTGGGTGGGTGAAAGATTGGAAAATGTTTCACAAACACATAATGAAAAACATTCTGGCGGTACGAATTCTCTCAGATAAAAGCAGGCGACAACAGGCGTGGACAGGAGGAAGGACAGCGAGGAGAACATCGAGCTGAAGCGACAAACCCTGAAAGTATATGCAAAGCTGAGATCTGCCCATGAATGTGAAGGAATTTTAAGATGGGTCAGCTCTTCTGGGCCCACTGAGAAACCAGTTCAGTTGTAGTTTCCCAAGAAGATTCATTTCTATAATAAATAAACAGGGTCAGACCGGCAGAGCTGGCTGCTGTTGGGAACCAATAAACGAAACCACAAAAGTGAGAATTTTAACGTCACATCGTCAAGGGACGTGTTACCGATGAAGTCTTTGAAAAGTATATATATATATATATATATCCATATCCCTTGGGCTTCCATCCTCCACTGTGTGGAAGGTCCCTGATCAGAAGTCCACCAAAAAATATGAGTTATTGGCTGTAGCTCAGGCAGGTAGAGCAGGTCAGCTACTGATCGGAAGGTTGATGGCTCGATTCCTGGCTTCTCACTAGTCTACATGCCAAATATCCTTGGCCAAGATACTAAACTTTGGAGGGGGCAGGGATAGCTCAGTATGTGGAGTGATCGGAAGATCGGGGGTTCGAATCCACAGAACGGTTACCCTGAGGTACCCCTGAGCAAGGTACCGTCCCTACACACCGATCCCCGGTGCGCCTGCTTATTGGCTCCCCACTGGGTGAATGGGTCAAATTCAGAGAGAGTAATTTTGCCACGGGGGTCAAAAAAGTATACATTATTATTATTACTGCAGATGGAAATAAATCTTTTGCTGTTGTTAACTCTTCTCAATTCAAGACTAATTTGACCCATTCTGATTATTTTCAGCCCCATATTTTTACTTTTACTCACCTTTGCATGTTTCATGGCTGAAAATAATCCTCCAAAATTATTCTGCCTTTAAGGCAATTCCCTTAACCCTCTCAGGCTCATATTAAGTTTTTGTTGCTAATGCACAAAAGAATACCTGCAGTGGTACTTCTGAGTAAAAAAACGTATAAAATATGTATGTGGGGTAATCAGGTTGTTAGCTTTTAACTGTTGCAAATCTGCAAAGCCTGCCTTGAGAGGGTTAAGCTAAAGCTAAGGCTAAAGCTACTGCTTTCTGAAATTATCCATCAATCAAAACTAAACCTTGGTTCTAATCAGACCTTGAATCTTGGCCTGCTTGTACAGCAGTACCAGACGATCTGTTTCAGGTGGAGGCGCCTCAGCAGGCTCCACGGTTGGATCAAACAGGGGCAGCATCATGGCTGCCAGGTCCTGGCCCACTTCCTTGGAGTTAAAGTTGGCATGTGTCCACTCATCTATGTAGTAACGGCGGGAGAATTTGGTGAGAGGCCCGGCAGCCCAAATGGACGAATTGGTGGTTCTGAAGCTGGAGTTTATGACAAGCCTGCCATCAAATACCAGGAAGGACTTGTTGAAGCTGTTGAAAGCGTCGTAGTCGACTCCTTTATTGGAGAGGTTGATGAACACCTGAAAGGACAAAAAGAGCCATCGAGTTTCGAGGTGGAATCTTTATTGGATTCACACTTTACACGATCCAACATCTACCTGATGTTTTTACCTTTCTTCGTTTATGTATATATATCTGATAAATATGAGCTACAGACGGGGAACAAACTGGGGGCAAGTCTTTGTAAGAACAGAGGAGTCGACCCCTGCTGGCCACTACAAAGAATGCAGGTTAAAAGCCACAGCTTCACTTTGAAGCACACCCATTTTTTTAACATATTCAGTCTGTGCTTGAAATTAAACTTCCCAAATTAAGATGATAAATATAAGATGGCTCTCGAGTGGTGAGGCTTTCAGGAAACTAAATACTGACACAGATAATTATTCATCCTGAAGTCCACAAGCTGCTCAGAGTCAAGAGGCCTGAGTGATGAAGCTGCGATTACAAACCCACGATAAAACAAACTCATAATATGTTCTTTGAAAAAACAAAACTCTGGAGGTGGAATAAAATGGTCATTTATTAAACTTATAGGTACTTTGGGGTTTTGCATTCATTGTTTTCCTAAATACTTGTGTGTCTGTCTTCCACAGCATGTGAAATACACACAGACTAATGACAACAGGGCCTTGCACACAGCAGAATTTTAACAAGAAAATTCAACACAAACCCAGAAGCAGAATCATCTTCTTTCTGAGACAATGGAAGTCATGGAAATGGGAAACACACCAACATCATTTTGTGCTTGACAAACACAGTTTGCTTCCAGGAGGGAAATTAACATCCAACCAAGAGCCACAATCTGGAGAATTCAGCCGCTCAAGCTTTTCCAGCTCTACCAGCCACCTTGGCCAGTAACCCACCATTGTTTGGATATCATTTCTTTTTGTAAGAATTAATAACCCGTCTGGATAAGCACTGAAAGCATCCGGTGGATTTTGAAAGCATCAGAAATTCTGACTTACTCCACACTGCAGATGGAGAGGCTCTGCATCAGTGGTAAACGATGCCGATGTGAGCGGGTCGGGTTGTTTGCCATTGTTAAACTGGGCCAGCACACAGTTACGGTGGATCTGGACCATGGCGTTCTCCATGGCCATCGCCGCAGCTTTTTCTACAGATGAGTCCAAGAAGCTGGAGACGCCTGGCACAGGAGGCAAGAGGACAAGATGGATACGAGATCCACGAATGCCGAGGCTCAGCAGAGTCTCTACGGTGGTGTAGATGTCGATGTTGTTTCCGTAGACGATGGCGTTATCTGAGAAGACGCAAAGAAGGAAAGGTTTCATAGTGAGAGTTCACTCACAAACTCCTATGTCAAGTTTGGCAGAAAAGAGAATTCCTCTTAAAAAACATACATAAACATTCATTGTTTATGTGAGGTGGTTAATGGTTAAAAGTTACTGGTTAAAGTTACTAAGCCGCATGATACACCTGCATAAATATGAGTACTTGGCCTGTTTTCCTAAGTGAACTTTGGACGGCTTCAAGACAGTCAGGTCGGGATGTTTTTATCACATGTAGCACACAGGAGGAAATAACCAACTTCACAAATACTCACATGATGCAGTAAAAGCACCAAAATATTGGTCAGTATTTTTATTGAAAACTGTGTGAGTCAATCCAAAGTGCAAAAAGGACCAACAGAGAAGGCAGTGCAAATGACTGTAAGAGAAACACAAAACATGATGATGACAAATCATGAAAATCACATAAAAGAGAAATATAATGAACTGATAATATAAAAATAACAAAATAAACAAACACAGAATTAGAGAAAAATAAAAGAATAAAACAAAAATCATTGTTGAAATGTTGACAGTGGACTTGGGCATGAAGTGGACTTCACTTAGACGGCAATAACAGTAACAGAAGAAGCCCGATCAACTTCTATTTCTATGCAAGAGGTTGGACTTGGAGGGAGAATATGATGTTAACATATTGTGGAGCAGATCTACGGCAGGCTTTAAAAACAAACAGGGATAAACAACTGAGAGGTTATAAAAATATGGAAAAGTTTTTCTATGTCCTTAAACTGTCTCAGCGATGGTTTAAACGATAAAAAGCTGCTCTTCACGACATGACAGACCTCACTGTTAAAAGGCAAGAAACTATCCATAAAACACACACTAGCTGCTGTATTCACACTCAGCAAAACGTTACCTACAAAGTTTTATATTACTGCAACATTTATTGAGAGCTTATAGTGGAGCACAGTTGTTACCTTCCACTCTGAAATCGGTGAAAAATCAGCCGCTGTCCCTTCATTAATGAGAGACATGAAACGTGATGCATGAGAGGACTCAGATCCAAACAAAAAACTGCAGTAACAGCTTTCTGAAAACAAAAAATGAATTTACATGCATTTTTCTCCATATAGGAGCTCTTGTATGTTTTTCTGATTGTGAGCACAACAGATGTTATTGTCCAAAGATACAATACAAATGATCTCTCTTTTTCAAACCAATGTTTTCCAGTCTACAGACAATAGCTCAGTCTGCTCAGGTTTTACAAACGGCCTTGGAAACGAAGGGAAAAGCTACACATTGTTCTACAAGAGGCCCTCGGCTTGCTGAACTCTGAACCACAGATACACAAGGACAAATGAGAGCATCTGAATGAGTTTTCCTTGTACTTCAGCTCCTCGTGCTTTGCTGTTTGTAATGGACAGCACCTCGACCGCAGGACCTTCATTCCAAAGGTCCGACAGACAAAGAGAGCACAAACTGAAATTTTATATGTGCGTGAATTCATGGCGAATCACGTAAACAGAGTATTCCTAGTTATACTAAAACTAAGCTAACAGTGAAAAATCCTTTCATTAAAATAACAATACAATTGTTTTGAAAAGAGAGAACATGTGCTTACAAAAGATTTTTTTTTTGGGGGGGGGCATTTATATGATTATCTTTAATTTGCAAATATGTTTTTGCAAATGTAACAAATAAATAACAGATCAAAACAACTGCCTGCTGTCCAGTGAGCCTGTGACTGTGTGGATGGACTCAAACTAAGCTAAGACCTCTCAGAGAGTGGACCTGACCAGTGAATTATGTGATATGGAAATACAACCTTAGAAGGCATCGAGTTAACCGATGCCTTCCAAATCATGTTCAGTTGAATACTCTTACAGTTTTTGTTCCTGTTTCATGCAGGTCACCGGTGAAAATATAATTTAATTACAGAGGTTACATTTTTTTTAAAAAGGGAGCAAAAGTAACAAGTAACAGCCCTGATGTGTGAAAAAAGGCTGGAAATACAAAAAACCTGAACTACAGCAAACCATAAAAGCACTTTGATCAATAAATATTGGTCATAATCTTGACTTACATCTCGATAAAATCAGATTTTATTACAGAAGCGTGATGTTTTGCGTTCAGCTCTGGCTTTACCAGCCTATTGCTGAAAAATCAAAGCTTATCAGCAGGTTATGGCATGAAATAAAAAACACAATGTTAATTAACATTTACATGATCTGTGTGACTTGTCAGTTTTGTTGATGGTTTCAGTGAACGGTGGAATGATGCGTCAGTATGAATTATGGGATGTTATTATCTCCTTTCCTGTCATGAAAGATGGTTCAGCTGCAGGAGGTAATAAAGGAAGCACAGAAGCACCTTTCCTTAGTAATAACAGAATTCAAACAGCTCTTATTGTGGCTGCCACACCTCTGGGTCACTTCACTCAGTCAGGAACCATCCAAAGGCTATTCAACTGCACCTGGACTGTGAAGAAAAACAGCTAATGCTACTGTGTGTTATCTGGGGTAGCTTTTTTTTCCATCATCTCTCTCTGTTATTAAACCAAAGTAAGGTCACATTGACCCAGCGGTCTTAGCTAATTATAGGCCAGTCTACTCTTGAAAGAGTAGTTGTAAAGCTCTACCTGAAACCTGACTGAAACTCTTTAAATAAGCCATTCCTCTGCAGAAGATCAGAGCTCATCACAGTACAGAAACAGCTTTAGTCAACGTTACAATCTTCTTATGGCCTCTGACAGTGGACCCATATCTTTGCTTGTCCTGCTAGACCTTTGCAGCGTTCGATACTATTGACCATAATATCCTATTAGAACGATTATAGCATGCTGTAGGTATTACAGGTATTGCACTGCAGTGGTTTGTATATCTATCTTATTGATCCCAATTTGTTCATGTAAATGGAGAGTCCTCTTCACACACTAAGATTAATTATGGAGTTCCACAGGGTTCAGTGCTAGGACCAATTCTGTTGACATTATACATGCTTCCCTTAGGCAATATCATCAGCAGACATAGCATACATTTTCACTGCTATGCAGATGACACCCAACTTTATCTATACATCAGACCTTCCCAAAGTGTGGGGCCCACCCCCTGGGGGGGGGGGGGGGGGGGGGGGGGGGGGCGCAGAGCCATTGCAGGGGGGGCGCGGTATGAAAAAAAGAAGATGCTTGGACACTGCTAACATAATTGATGGGTTTTTGTCAGGGCTCCCACACAAATGCAAAGCAGGAGATGAAGCATCGCTGACTATTTTTTCAAACCAACTTCATTCTAAGCCAAAGACTAGAAAATATGGTGAAGCATATCTGCCCTTTGGTGTCACCTGCGCAAGTGCAGAGGTAGGTCTCCCCTGCATCGGGAGCACGCACCGGGCTCTCCAAATCATGGACAAACGGTATCCCACATTCTTGATTTTTAGTTCACAAACACTTCTTGTAATGACTAACTACTCCTGACATTTTGGAGATGTTAGCTCTTTATACAGTGAAGTTACAGCGGGATACAAATAATATCAGGCTGATCCTGCCACGATTTGTTCCCTCGTTTCAAATCACGGACAAACAGCATCCAACAGTTGTTTATGTTTTTAAACCCATTTTGCACAGAGAGGCATTTTTTGAAAAATGTATTGATAGCAATGTTGAATATTATTACAGGGAAAAACAACTACAAGTAAAATAATCACACCGTGAGCCTCCCTCTGCCTTTCTAAATGGAGAGACAGTAACTACGTGTGTAAGTGTGTAAAACCTGCAGATAGTCAGATTAACAGTATTGTGTCTCTATCTGCCATTCTGCAATTCATCTCATGTAAACAATAACGTGGCGCACAGCGTGACGTGAAAAAAGGCACATACCTTTAACATTGCGTGACGAACTCTGTATTCCTCATCCACACGTAAACACAAAAAATCTCCGTTTTCGGTGATTCGAAAAGCCATTTACGTGTGGACGAAACAGTTGCATTTTCAAAAATTGTCATGATTCGTTGTGTGGCAGGCAGGAGAAGGACCCAAGATGCAGACTCACAGACACGGGGATAAACTTAAAGATCACAGTTTTAATGCTGGCTTAAAGGTGAAACACAAAACAGTACTGAACTAAACTGGAAAAACTAAACATGAGATGTACCAGGAACCACGGGGAGAGTAACACACAACATGAGGGAGAACGCGACGCCGAACAGAGGAAGACGCAGACAGAAATACACAGAGGGTTAACGAGGAAAGTGGGAACACACGGGGAACACAGCTGACACAGATAACCATAACGAGACAGGGCGGGGTGAACATAACACTGACGGGAGACGGGCAGAGTCAAACAGGAAGTACACAGAGGTTCAGACAGGAGGAGAGAGCACGGGGAGAACACAGACATAACAGGCTGGGGAAAACATGGAATAAAACACGAAAGGGGACAAGGGCTCATGAATACATAGAGGGGCACACAGGGGGTGAGAGTCACAAAGGGAAAGCACACAGGGAACAACATAACAGGGCAACTCAGGAAGCAGAACCTAAACAGGGAACTGAATACAAAAATACAAGAGAACTAAGAATACTGGGCCAACACGGCCCAGGACCATGACATCAATACCCGTGCAGGTGTGGACGTAGCGCAAAACAGCTAGTAGTTTATTTTATTACACCTGTAATTTAGGGGGGGGGGGGGGGGGGGGGGACATTTTTCTTGTAAAACAAAGGGGGTCTAGCAAAGTTTTGGAACCACTGCTATACATTTTCTGATTTTAAATTCAGATAAAACTGAGGTTATTGTACTTGGCCCTATAAAATCTTAGTGTCTTACCAGACACTTAATCTAGATGGCATTACCTTGGCCTCCAGTAACACTGTGAGGAATCTTGGAGTCATTTTGACCAGGATATGTCCTTCAATGCACATATTAAACACATATGTAGGACTGCTTTCTTCCATTTGTATAATATCTCTAAAATTAGAAATAGCCTGTCTCAGAGTCACGCTGAAAGACTAGTTCATACATTAATTACTTCTAGCTCGGACTACTGTAATTCATTATTATCAGGATGTCCTAAAAACTCCCTGAAAAGCCTTCAGTTAATCAAAAATGCTGCAGCAAGAGTACTGACAGGGACTAGAATGCATATTTCTCTTCTCTATATTGGTTTCTCTTCATTGGCTTCCTGTTAAATAAAGAATCAGATTGCTGGGGTTATCTTTGTATTACTGTTGAATCTTTATCTAACAATATAAAGTGCCTCAAGGTGACTGTTTTTGTGATTATATTTATATATTTATATATATTCATATTATTATATTGCAATATAATTAAAACTGAATTGAAGTTGCTACATTTAATCTGCTTTTAGTATAATCTGAGGCAAGTTCAGAAATGCCTTTCTTGTCTAGTTTTATCAGCACAGGAGGAGTTGAAGGCTTTCACGGGCTGCTGTTCATGGCCTCTGTCCATGGTACTGAATGAGAGCTGCGGTAAGATGAGTTAGATTTATATAAGCCATGATCACATGCTACAAATATCATTGCTATTGACGGTAAAGAGCTTACACAACACAGTAGTTTGTTTTGGAAAACTACCACATACTCTGACCATCTCACACAAATACACAAACAAAATGCAGCTAGGAGTGGTTGGGAGTGTTTTATTAGCTGAGCTCCTTTGGTTGCTATGATACACGATATCCACAAAAGTAAAGTGTTGCATGAACTCCACTCCACCTGACTGCTGCTTAACTGTTACACCCACAGGGAAACAAAATGCCACTTTAATCATGATCTTCCGTATAATTACTCTGGTAGTTTGGGGATTTAATTTTGCTACAGGCAGTACTAACGTCTCCTCCATTGTTGCTTAGCAGTCAATGGTTGGACAGTATAGTTTTTGTCTTGCCCCTCCTAAACTGTGATTGGACAGCTGGGTTTTCCCAGAAGGTCAAAAATTTTCAACTCTCGGTGACCATAAACATTTAAAAAAAATTTAAACTTTCCCTGCTTCTGAGAAAAAACACAAAACAACACAAAACACACTGTAAACAGACCCTCATTCCTAAAACATCGATTAGTATGCACAAAAAATAGATCCCGTTAAATGCAGTCTTTCCTTCTCATTGGATGTGTTTTTCCTAATTTTGTGAACACACTAATACGTTCAGTTAGCATGTCAGCTTTAGGATTTCTGTCATTGCACATGTTCATATGGCTTCATGAATTCATCATATGTTGTTTTGTTACTTGGAAACAGAGGAAACATTATATTTAATAGCTTACAGCTGCACATGCTCATTTCGTAAATATTAATTGTCATGTCCATGCAGGACACATTAGTTATATAAACAACTGTCCCTGCTGACATCTTTGTGAAGTGCTAATAATCTCTGTGTTGGTGGAAATGAACAGAGCATGTTATATTAAAAATGATACTTGCATGAACATTGCTGGAGCAGGGTAATAAAATGTTTAAAGATCAACTGTAATGTTTTTGTTTTTTCTATTTTTGTTGGATTTGTGGCAAATCAGAGAAACTTCCCTACACTCGAAGGCTGAGATTTACATACACTCTTTGTTTTCCTTCTGTTGCTATTATTAAAATATGGAAATAAACATGGTATCTGCAAAGGTCTGTCTCTGCAATTTGCATGTATTAATGGTTTTCCTTTATGACTGGAATCAGCTAATTAGTATGTATAAAAGCCTCACTCTAGATCACTGCACAATTCCTTCAGAGAGCAGATTAATTTTGCTTAATGACACTGTGCATTTTCCCTGCTCTGAAAAGCCCGGCTCTCAGAAAGTGATATGATAATGGAAAATGGATGGAAGAGGCCGACCTGATTCACGGAGATGAAAGATTTCTCTGCAGCTAATTAGCTGCTAATTATACCGGGGCACTTCAGCAGCGACTGGCTGAGTAATGACATACTACTACAGATTAATTTTAGGTGTTCTCTCTGTGTGTGTGTGTGTGTGTGTGTGTGTGTGTGTGTGTGTGTGTGTGTGTGTGTGTGTGTGTGTGTGTGTGTGTGTGTGTGTGTGTAGGCGAGGCTTTCCATTTACCCTCCAGCTCCAAAAAGTTGGCACAGAGCCAGCGGCGAGCAGCCATGCAGTCGTGGAGGTCGTTGAGGGTGAAGAGGTTGGAGGGCACGGGCCCAGTGTATCTGCTGTGAGTGGAGTGCAGCTGGCTGTTTGTGACAGGCTGGCTCACATCTACACCAGTGGGACACGGTACCTACACACACACACACACACACACACAAAACAAATTAAATTCATTTCTTTAACTTCTTACATTTCAGTCATGCAATATCAAACAGTTAAAAGGAGACATCATGAAAGGAATGCTGTGCGTCACCATTATGTACAAAGTGTCCTTCAGCATGGACAAAAATCATATAACAAGACAGTGTGACAGACCTGCTGTCGTGGTCCGAGGGTGTGGGGATGTTCGTAAGCTTTGGTTCTTTTATATTTATTGATTTGGATCACTGTTTTGATTTTATTCTCATGCTGACAATGTTTTTTATTTTTTGTGAGCTTCAAATGAAATTATTGAGTTCTGGTCCCTGTTTTTCATTCCATTGTTGTATTAATCTCCCCAGTCTGTTCTCTCTCCTCTCTCATGTATGTGCCTTCTCGGTTAAACTTTCCCTGTTTATTCTGGGTTTTTTTGTTTTTTTTGGGGTTTTTTTGTGTCCCGTTTGGATCTTTAGCCATCAGAATTGTTGTCTTAAGGCCAAGAAAGATGCCAAGCGGATTTATTTTACCAAGTGGATCATCATGGCCTTGCCATATTGGTCCATTTGATTGACCTTTATTATAATTATGAATTTATTTTATTTTCAGTTGCTACAAATGGGACAGACATGACTGGGGGATAGGACAGGGAGAAAGAATGAAAGAAAGAGAGGGAGAGAAAGAAAAACAGAGGGGAGAAGAGACGGTGAGAAGGGGGGGAAGAAAAAAAACAAACAAACAAACAAAAAAACAAAACACCTGGGTCACCTGTATGGAGAAAAAAAACAGAAGAGAAAGCAAACAACAAAGAGCAACATAATAAAAAAAACGGCACCATCACAATAAACTAGCTAGCAGTAGATATCAGTAGATACTAAGTAACAAACGATATTGTGCAGCACGCAAGATAGACAGGGCACAATGTGCTTTGAGGCAGCAGCCAAGAAAGCTGTAGTTCGCATCTGTGAACACCCGTGTGTACACCTGTGTGCATACCTGTGTGGATCAGCATGCTTGCATTCCAAAGGTTTCTCCATGTAACGATCTGCTAGAGGGTGTGGGGGAGCCACAGCCCTGTCCTCCAGGGTATGAAGCAGGTATGGAGGAGATCAAAACTCCAGACATCCAGAGGCCCCCAGAACACAAGAGACCAAGGAAGACCAACAGAGGGGCAGCCGCGCCACTGTCCCAGAAAGAGCTGAGGAGAGTCCCAGATGAGGGCTCACTCAGCAGCCGCGGAGCAGAAGCCAGGGGGAGTTGCAGTGACGCGCCCGTGAGCTCCGCCGGCAGCCAGCTGTGCCTGAGTGACCGAGCCCCAGGCCGAGAGGCCGGGGGCACCCCACCTCCGAAGTGGCCCGAGCGAGCCCCAGGCTCCAGGCCCCGATAAGCGGCCGCCAAGGAGTGAGCCGGTGTGTACCCGGACGCCCACCCCCAGGCACAAAGAACCACCAACGCACCGACACCTGAGGGAGTCCGCCACTGGCAGGGGAAGTGGTGGTGGGTGGAGATAGGCCTCCAAACCTTGGAGGGCCTGAGATGTCCCCAGAGACGTGGCGTCTGATACCCAACCTGACATATAGACACAGTCCCTGTTTATTCTCTCTTTTGTATGTTTCCTGTTTTACTTTGACAGTTGGCTTTTTCTTGTGTGTTGTCTATGATTTTAATTCCTGTCTTTTCCTGCCCATTTCTTAGCCTCAGGTCAGAAACAAACATTTTGTTGTTATTTCACCTGTCTAAGTGCTGCAGCTGTGTCCTCTGTGTCAGCTTTAAAGAGCTATAAATAGCTTTTTTTCTCCTCTTAAAGTTAGAACTAAATTATAATGCCAAAGGAACATCGGCGACACAAGGATGTCATATTATGTTGTTGTTTTTTGTAACTCAGGTATGGCTCGAGTGTAGTCTGTGAATCCTGTTGATGCTTAAGCAAAAAAAAAAAACCTACTGAAAACACTCATTGAGCACTTTATTAGGGACACCTCTGCTATCTAATGCAGGGAAATACAACTGTTTTATGATTAAAAACACTTCTCTACAGCTCATGCTTCAATTTTTGTTGAATTTATAAAAAAAGTTGATCATTCTGATTCATGGTTATTAGTGTGTGTGTGTAGTGGGGGCGGTGCAGGTGGATGTGACTGCATTGTAATGAGATGTTTTCTGCTATTTTCTCTAACCAAACAGCACACATAAGTCGGAAATATTTTTCACCCAGTTCACACTGCAGCAACAGCTCTGCTGTCAGAGGAAAGACTTTTTACAACTCACATTAAAAGAACCAATCATCTCACCCGATACTGCAGGCCAGTACAGAGGATGAGGTGGTCGTAGGGCACCTTCTCCCCACTGGACAAGAGGACGTATTTGGACTTCCTTCTGATGCCCACCAACTTCCCCGTCACCACTCTGATGAAGGAACGCACTGGGATCTGGGCCAAGTCTCTGCTGCTGTAGGCATGACTGCATGAAGATGAGAAGAAGAAACTTAAACTAATAGAATTATATTGATGCTAATTTTCTAATACAAGCCTCCACAATGATGATGATGCACTTTCAGTTAGAAATCTGTATTTCTAATATGCACTGACAATGTCAGTGTCTGTCATCATTTGTTGGCCGGTCTCTGGCACAGAATTCGGCTCAATTTAAAAAGAAATGTGTACAAATGTTGTTAATGTTTGTGGAAATCACGGTTGAAAATCACCACTGAAAGTATTCTGACTGGCTGCATCACCACTTGGTGTGGCAGCTGTAATGGTCTGGACCACAAAGCTCTGCAGAGGGTGGTGAGATCAGCACAGCGCATCATCAGGACTGAACTGCCAGCCATGCCGAATCTCTACAGACAGTGCTGCATGAGGAAGACACAGCGGATCCTCTCTGATCCCAGCCACCCCAGACACAGACCTTTCACACTCCTGCCGCCTGGCATGCGGTTCAGGAGCATCCAGACCCACACTAGCAGACACAGAGACAGTTTTTACCCACAAGCCATCAGGCTTTTGAACTGCTGACATTCCATACACAACACTACACACTCACTACAATAACAGGACTCTGCACACTGTCACTTCAACAAATGCTACTTAAATGCTCACTGCACAACTTTGTACAACCTGCAGATACTCTTGCACAAACTTGTAAATACCAACTTGTCTTAAATGTAAATACCAACTAAATTCTCTAATATTTAATACTTTTTTCCTCTCCTTTTTATTGTTATTATTATTATTATTATTATTATTGTTATTGTTATTATTATTATTATTATTATTTTATTACTACCACTGCTATTTTCTGTTATTTTCTTCTTAATATAACTGCACACTCTCTATATGCTCATGTAAAGCTCAGGAGCAGGAGCCAAAGAATTTCATTATGGATGAATGTGGCTACACTGTTTATCTGTACATGACAATAAAACTTGAAACTTGGAAACGTGTACAAGAATCTGCAAATGTGTCTGATTCATTAATGTGAAAGAGGTTGCCTCACATAGTGGCAAATAACATTGCTTTTAAAGTTTCTTTCATAATATTCTGAAATAATAATAATGTCATGTTGCGTTTACATTTTTCCTTCTAAAACACTGTTTTTAACTGAGTTTAATTACACTTAAAATAATCACACACTCTGGTGCTTTTCCAGCTGTCTGATGGTATGTCAATATATATCCAACATGTTTGGGAATGCGAGATGGCACAACAAGGTTTTCCATTTTCATGTGCATGTTGTTCTGTTCACTCACCTTGTGGACAGAAATCCAGCGTCCTCGCGGTTGTAGTCGCCGGGGAAACCGTGTGTTGAAATGAGGGTCAGGCTGTTGAACCTCAGGTGAGGGCTGTGAGAGAACAAACAGCAGCGAAAAGCATGAGTGCTATTCCACATAACGCTGTGAACACACAGTGAGAGGAGGACCCTGGGAAGGACTTCAGAGCTTTTGGAAACGCAATCACTGAAACATAAAACTCATGTTACTACTTTAAGTGTGTGAAACTGGAAATTCTAGATAACACTTTGTACATTTTTATACTGTTTGTGTTTTTTTATACTGTTTATTTCAATCATTGGGACTTTATTTACCCCCATCTGATGGTATTTAATCACTAGCTTTTTAATGCCTCACTTAGATATTAGAACATTAAAGAGGTATAAAAGCAAAACCGTGATTTCTGCTATTTTAAAGGAAAATAGAGGACAGTGGAGACACTGGGAAAACGTGACTTTCCTGTAGGCTGCTCTGGTTCACAATTGATTCATCGGCCAGCCACGATTTATTATTCTTTACCTCCCACCACATTCTCTATTCCTAAACCAAACTGAAGGGGCTTCTTTGTGCATGGCTATGGAAGGTGTGTGACCCTTGTCCCCACGCATGTAAACAGTGGAGGATGCATGCGGAGAAGCATTCTCTCCAGAATATTCTTTCCTGGCTCGTCGGCCACAGTGAGCAATGCTTGTGATGTAGAGGTGGTTTGGCCAGGCTGAACAGCAGGCACCATGCTGCCCAGTTATTACAGTCTTACATTTTGCACTTTTTTTGTCACATTTAAGTATTTTATAGAAAATACTGAATGCTTTTCTCTATTTTCTCCTGTCATATTTTATGTGCAACGCATGCAAAAACATCTCTCTCTCTCTCTGTATGTGTATATATATATATATATATATATATATATCTATATATATATATACTATCTATATATATATATATATATATATATATATATATATATTTCTCTATTTTCTCCTGTTATATTTTATGTGCAACGCATGCAAAAACATCTCTCTCTCTCTCTGTATGTGTATATATATATATATATAGATATATATCTATATATATCTATATATATATATATATCTATATATATATCTATATATATATATATATATATATATTTATATTATATATATATATTTATATCTATATCTATATCTATATATATAATATATATATAATATATATATATATATAATATATGTATATATATATATATATATATATATACATACACACACCTTTTGCCACAACATAGAGTGAAAATGAATAAGGCATGAACTTGCTGATCAGTGTGCAGCAGTGTATTGTGTTGAGCAGATCATTGTGTTGTTGGCTGGCAGGGAGAGCTATTTATATGTCGGTGTATGTGTCTGGGCCGTTTTGATGCACACACACAAAAAAAGAAATGGAAAAAAAAAAAACATTTTTGAATTGCATTTTGGGTTTTTATGTTTAGACTTTTGAAAAAAATCAGCCAAAGATTCAAAAATGTGTGTAAACAACTGTTGAAGACTGTAATTTCCATTTTGTTCACAGATGTATAAAAACATTTAGAAAAGCAGACTAAAGCTAGCCACAAAAAGAAGAAAATATGGAATAAAAGTCACAACTCAGTTGATATAGTGATGATTTTGTGTTACGGGAATATAAGGCCAGGTAAAGAATCATAGATAAGCTAAGACAACAAAGCCTTTATTGGTCCCACAGTTGGGAAATTCAAGGATACAATGACACAGTTGACATTTTAGATGCCGAGTAGCAGCAAAATGGAAGTGCAGTGGTTGGATAACAATAGCAGCAAGCACTGAGTATTGCATACCGAGCTATGAGCATATGTCTATTAACATGTTTACTTTTGACAAGAGTGAAGCTTTTTTATTTTTTCTCTACTCTTTCAACATTATTTATCCAGAAAGTTAGTTTACAGCGCTCAAAGCTACCTTTATCGTAATGTTTAAATGTCTTGAACACCGGAGGAATAACAACCTTTCCATATTTCACTTACTCAGGCTAATCAGTCTTCTTCTTAGGTCTGTGTGGGTGTGTCACCACTGACTGACAGATGTTCCTGACATTCGCTTGTGGATACACAAACAGCTAAAGACACCTTGTAGCACACCTCTAGTATACTTTTGTCAAATTTAGGTATCCTCTGTGCTATCTAAGTGTAACAAAACTGCTTAACACCAATTTAACAATAACTAAACTTAAGTAACACTGAAACTGGGATGTTGTATAATGGGTCGTGTTTTTTATCCGGTTATTTAAATATGTATGCAGACACAGAAACTGGAACGCCAATATTAGACTGAAAAATGTTGCCTGCGTCTGAACTGTTGCACAAACAGCAGACTGTTATCCACCTTTAACCTGAGAACACAAACATAGCAGAATGGTTTTATGAACTGAAACGGCGGTGCATTGAAACGTTGTCATGATAGCCCATCCTGCACCTTTAGCAGCTCATTTACTGCGGACACTGCGTTTTCAATACACTTGAGGTTGATTTAAAGCTGACTCCTGACACCATGATCCAAACGAGAAAACAAGTTCTACAAAATAGAAACTATAACAGATCTGAATGCACTGAACTGAAAACAGCTATTTATACCATTGTCACACTGTCTGGTTTGGTTTTGTTTGTTGTTGTTTTTTTTGGGGGGGGGGTTATCCTCAGTTCGCTGGCAAGTTTCCGTTTGTAAAGATTGACAAACGTAAATTACACGGGGCTAAAAAGAGCAGCTCAGGAGTTTAGCTTTAATTCAAAATTCAGTACACTGTTGAAATTACATATTATGGTGCTTTTACATAAATCATAAACCTTTTAAAATCCCTCTGTTTACCAATGTAGGCATGTTTACAAAGCGTAAAGCTTCTCAGGTGCACATTCTCCAGCCTGCTGATGCGTTTGTGGTTCCTGAGCATGAAAAACTGGAGCTGTCTGAGCTCTTGTGAGTTTACTGTTGACAGTATAAACCATCTCTTGTGATGCAAATGGCCTCCTTTGTTGTGGCCGACAGGACATTACACAGCAGATAACAGCAGTTCCAGCTCCTACGCTCAGTGAATAGCAAAGTGTGTGTGTGTACCTCGCAGCGTCCAGCCTTATCACCCTGACACTCTGATCACCTCCTGCTCTGTTCTTATCTGTGCTTCCTGCTAAATTAACGCCCAGCGGCGCACATTGACAACACCAGACACCAAAATGCTGCTAAACCGATTGTACATGGGAAGGCTGTTGTTTCATATTAGTGAGCAGTTATAGCAGTAGATACATGCAGTGAGGCATGTGGTAAACACACGATGGCTGTGCTTGGTTCCTCATATTGAAGAGGTACTTTAAGGTTATATCTGGTATACAGGATTGTTACAGGACTACAACTACAGCCAAATAACCAAAAACAGACTTTCCTGGGTGCTTATTTTACCTGTAAAATATTACAGGTACTATTAAATATCCTGCACCACAGCTCCACGGAGATGATAAACAGAAGCTGATTCCAAAGACACCACCTGGTCAGCTGAATGAAAATCTGCTTAGCACTTTGATGTGAGCCAAAAGTTGCTGGTTTTTATATAATGCTTTCATTAAATGACTCATTATACTGCACATTTTGTAAAGTTGGTCTCAAATCACACCTGTAGGCTGACTGCAGTATTAGTCATAAACCTTGCTGCTCCATCTTAGTGGGTGGTACTCAAATGCCAATCTATGGGGGTGGAAAAATTAGTGAAATAAGCAAAATTCCAGTTTTTATGAATCAGCATCCTCACAAGACCAGCAAGTCGCTCTGTCACTGGCAGTTAGCTGCTAGCAGGCGTTCAACCTCCAGCACATTACTTACACTAATGAGCAGGTAATAGTATGATAAAGTAGAAGAGGTCATCTACAAATCAGAAGGTTGGTGGTTTGATCCCTGGCTGCTCCTGTTTGCATGCCAAAGATATTGAACTATGAGTTAGTCCTGACATGTTGATTAAAATGTGAATGTTAGGCTAGGAAGCATTTAGGCATATAAAAAATGATTGTGTTATTGAGGCTTGGGTATAAAGTTACTGCTATAACTTTAACTTGGAATGTGATAACTAGCAAGCTGAGAGACCTTCCATCTACTGAAGAAAAAAAACAAACAAACAAAAAGGTAAAAATATAAATGATTTGACGAATCACCTAAAGTAACTTTTTTTCCCTTTAAAAGTTCTACATTACTGACCTGTAGATATTAGCATAATAAACACATTTCCCAGCAAACAATATTTATAGCTGGATCAGATAAAAATGCCTACGTGCTTTGTGTCAGCATTGGTTTAAGCGTTGCTTTCTGACATGAACATGCGAATAATAACAACACAATAACACAGCAACAATCTGACAGCGACCACAGTCAAACTTTCTTGTCAATCCGTGCCAGAAGATGGATTTTTTGTTGCAGCGCCGAGGCATTATGGCCCATTATTGGCGTCTGGATGCGACAAAATCAGCAGCTCTGGATTTGCTCTGTTATCTGCCGGTGACAGACAGCTGTGGTGACCCTGCAGTCTGACCGCGGTGAGCAAAGGGCTGAGCCGCTGCAGAGCTCTTTATCTGCCTGACCCCGTCCCAGCCAGTAATGGAGGGGGGGGGGTGGACTCAATGAGCACAAGGAAATCTGTGTTGGTGTGGAGGGGGGTGGACATTTGGGCAAGGCTGATAAGGGGGGCCCCTCGCAGGCCGAAACTGACCCATCTTTCACCCTCTAAATGTGTTGCCGCCTCACCATTAGTCCAGTAGACACTAACTGCCTCATTAGTCAACTCATTAGTGACAGCAAACACAGATCGCTGCAGCAGATCCTGACGGGGGAAACAGTGGAGTGGCTAATTAAAGGGGGCCGGCTCTGGCCCCGCTGAATGCCAGGCCTCAGACAGCTGCGTGCGCCTGCCCCGGCACCGCCGCAGTGCCAGCCTCACCAGCTCTATGAGCGCTGAGAGATCTCGCTCTCTCAAAACAACAACCCTGGTTGCCTGGCAGCTATCAGCTGGCTCTGAATCAGCAGCCCTCTGCTTCTTATTATTTGCTGGAGCAGTTAATCTCAGGGAGCGAGGACAGAGGCAAACAGAAGACGCCTGAGCTGAAGTCAAGTGACATTTCCAGAGGTTTGGATTCCTGGCATGAAAGGCGATAAAGAAATGAAACAGAAGCTCGAGTGAGAGGCTCTGGGCTACTCGGGCACCTAAACACATTTCATTCTAACATCTGCCAGATCTCTATTACAGCACCTGCATCCTCACCGTGTTCTTCTTCTTTGCCACATGCAGTGTGACCTGTTTGTGCTTATAGCAGACATCATTGTCTGCAGACAGTTACTGATTCAGAAACATGAGGTGCATGTTTAAGTGTCTGTACTACAGGTTGCGCCACTTGATGATTCTGAGTGCCATTTACACAGACTTTCATTATTAGACATATATGGAGACATCCACTGCGACCTATTTTGAATATGTAATCTTAAACACAAATTAATTTTATCAGTTTAATCAATGCCATAAGAGCAACTTTAAAAGTTCAATCAATTTTTATTAAACATGAGTAAACATGATAAATTTATCAGGAACTACTTTTAGAAGTGGATTAATCTATATTTGATCCTGTGAGTATTTGGGGCAACCGGCTGGTGTGTATGGTCAGGTTGAATATGACTATAATGATTCATGAAGGAATATGTCATATGTTGGTGGCAACAGTGGCACTATGGCACAAAGGAACAATATTGTATACATCGGGCTACACTTGTACGTGGCACATTTACATCCGCCTGTTCACCACAAACTACCCGACAGACAGAAACTCTTGGGAGCACTTTGAGTGTATAGGTGAGATTCTGAGCAGCTAATGAAGCTGTGTGCCGTGTGCAGCAGAGCTGTGTGCTCTGTGCTTGATGGGGACTTGGAGATGATAAGGTACATATACAATGCACAGATGGTGAGAGGTTTCTGTGAGAGGCTTAATAAGGGCTTGAGCAAATTTTTGCCCCGGGACACCAAACAGCTAATCGGATCAGAGTGAAATAGGAAAAACACTGTCACTCCTGCCACAAATTTAGAAAGTACAGCCGCAATCAATCCTGGAGTTAGTTCAGAGGCAGACTCACCAGGAACAAAGCACCTCGAGGAAAGCTAAACCTGTGTCCGAAGCTCCCACCAGCACAATCCGGGTATTAATGGTGACCTTTGGCTCCATGGTCAACTTTCTGCTGACGAGGCTGAGAGCAAACGGTGCCTAAGAGAAACAAAGAGAGGAGACGGTCTGTCACGTTTACCCCCATCTGGAGGCGACACATCACTCCCAGAACGACTGACACCATTTTCAGGAAATTAAATAAATGCAGCAAATGTACTTATTATTACATAATGACCTGTCCAATTTCTCCCATTCACAGCTCAGCAGATTTCATCGGGGTACCTCATCAGCCTGCAAGCTTTCAGCTTTTCTCTTTATACTCTGTGACATTCAAGCGCGACTCGTGCTGAATCTTAGGCCCTAAACGTCTGCGCTGTGTGAAACTTAATGGACACGCCATCAATCATGCTTTTCACCAGTTTTCAAAAAAGTTCACAAGCGTTTGAGCAGAAACGGCTCAAAGCAAAGGGATTTTCTTGCGTAAAAGGAAAAAGGAAATTACATTAAATGCTGCAAATTTCCAACAGCATATGAACTTTTTATACATCTTTTTTCAAGGGAAGAAGAATTTTAATGAGCTGACACGCAATCTGCCAAAATATACAGAGTCCTGCCTCCCTGCATAAGCGTATAATTACAAGTAGCATGAATAACATTTCGTGCAAAGCACATTTAATTTTAGCCAAAACGGAAAGCCCGCTGGGATGGGAAGGGATCAAATGTGTGACCTGAGAGTTAAGGAACCCTTTTCTCCAACAATCACAAAAGCGTCCCACAGGAATTGGTCGAACACGCCGTTCCAATTTCCCAATTCTCCAAGGCCAATCGTCTCTCTCGCCTCCTCTCACTGTGATCTGAGGCAGCTAATGTCGCCTTCATTTTCTATAATTAAACAGATTGGCCCCACAATGCACCTTATTGAATGAAAACAACACTGAGAAAAAAAAAAAGTAAAAGAAAAAAAGTGTGTGTGCGTGTGCGCGCGCGTGTGTGTGTGTGTGTGGGGGGGGGGGGGGGGGCATGGGTGGAATTAACCTTTGTGTGATATTTAAATAAATTTCCACGAGGGCATGTGAGCCCAACATCTGTCACATACACGGAGGTGTTTTGGCACAGGTTTGACTGTAGGAGGAAAACGTAAGAAGCCTTGGTTATTTTATATGATAAATAAGCCACACACTGAAAAATTTGAAGCATCAAAATATCACAAAAAATTAAACTTTGCAGGTTTGATTTTGAATTGTGTTTGGTAATTTAGTATATACACCAAGCTTTTGTTTTGAAGCAACATATTTCAGAAAAGGTTGAGAGGTGTGTAATGCTTAAAAACACTTAATGGAACAACTAATTAAGTTAATTAGTAACATGATTGTGAATGGAAAACTATCCCGCAGAAGCTAAACCATGTGTATGCAGCCCTCCGGGTAATTTTAATTTTAGCAATACAATACCAAACCACATTCTGCAATTATTCCAGCTGCACGAGCCTCTGAGTACAGACTATTTATAAAAATGTCTGTGATTACTAAACAATTAATGCCACATTTTGGTCCTCGAATTAAAGCTGAGAGCGTGTACTTTCATGTTATTTGAATATTTTTGTACAGAGAGTTAAAACCTGAAAAATGTGCTCCAAAATAGATGGGTGTAACTGCATTTTCCATTTTTTTCATTTGGTCTTTGTACAGCATGTCGGAAACAGGGTTTCATCTCAGGAACTTATGTAAGCAGTAAAAGTCAATTTGTCTTTATTTTAATTTTGAATGCACAGGCTCATTATTTTTTATTTTTTGCTTGACTGGAGATAAAGTAGCCTTGGAGTCGATATGTGATGTATATTGTGTGATTACTGCAGGTAATACTAGGTTAAATCATGCAGCAACCACTGATGCTCAAAAACCAAATGAATTTCATGCAATAATCTGCAGTTCCACTAACGACCACATGAGGCAAGCTCCAAAGTGAGTCGATCCCCAGACGTCTGGGTTAAAATGATTTACCAGTATTAAAAAAGCATGTTTAAAAACTGGTGCAAAAAGAGTGTTTTGGATAGTTTGATGGATAAAAACTTCCCAGTGGGAATTTTGTCAGAACTGGATACTGGAGTTATGGGTATGGAGGTATGGCTGTTATGACTGATTATATTATATTATTGCAAACTGAGCCTGTGCTTGTTTTGCTGAGTGAAACTCCAGTATTTTACAGGTTTGCTATTTTGCACTAATTATCAGACAGGTGTGCGTTTGTGTGTTACATCCATGTAGTTTATGAATGCAGACTGATAACAAGTTTGTCAGAATTAGATGAACTCCACCCTCTGGTCCAAATACGGTCACTCAAGAAAACCAACATGGGTCCCACATACTACTCCTGAGAAGTTGTCTAAAGCTAATTTAAGCACGTTTTACTACCTGAAAGATGATTAAGAAAAAGTATGAACAGACTGCATTACTGTTCTCTACATTATATTACATTTATAAATATAAACTGGGACATCCTGTTTGAATATGTAAATAAATATGAAATGAGCAGCACACTGGCTCTGAAAAGTCTGTGAAAGCTTTTTGGTGATGACACTGACTAGCCGGTATCATGTGCGCCTTAATTTTGAAGATAAGATCATGTCATGACCGTTTTCTGGTTCATTTAGACTAGCCTTTACCCTGAAGAAAAAAAAATCTCATATTATTGTTTGCATGTATATCTGTCTGTTCTATTAACTTTTAAAATAGATAAGACAAACAGTGATTTTTAAGCTGATGTCTCACACAGCTGCTGTAGGTCGACATTTATTGAAACCGAGCTTTACTTTATATGTAAAAACCCTTCATCTGTTATCATATACTGGAAAAATTAAATGCCTAGATGCATCCGTCTGAATACTGCAGGAATTAACCAGATGAGGTAATCAGATGAACAAAGCTCCCGTCTCATCTGCATGTGAGGTGGAGCAGGTGCAGCCGCTCTTATCGCGCTGGAGGTGCCTCACCTTTGCCGCACACAATGACCACGGCACTGCGTAACATGATCCCGTATTGACAGAGAGGGAACAGGTGCTTTAAATTTGATTAGTCATCCCGGGGCCGACATCGGGAGGAGGCTGGGACAAAGATCTCGGAGGCGAAGCTGTTATCAGGCAGCGTGGAAATCATGACTGGCATGGGGCTGGCGGGAGGGGAGGGGGGTGATGGAGTGAAATGAACATGTTAGTGTACATGGTGACGCCTCAGGTGGAAAGAGCGCTGCTGAACATGGGGTAAATATTTGAAGTGCAGGATGTTAAAATCAATCAGCCAGGCTTTAAGCCCCAAACATGGTTGACAGCTGAAACCATGCCATTATTCACACAGGCTACTTTCACCTGCTTTTCTCCACCTTTTACTGAAGTCATCTTAAGAAGCTGCACTTCATATTTACAGAAGAAAATATGCCTTAAACAGAGCGACAAACCAAGGTACTAAAACCCAGGCTGTTAGTTTCATTTTCTTTATTCTGTTGCACTTTTTCCCTTTACTTAATCAACTTATAGTGGAAATCAGGCAGCAGGTGACAGCTCAGCATACACTGCACGTGGAAGATGATGCAAGTGTTTTCTCTCACTTTCATATAATTAACCTCAGCTTTTTATTATCATCAGTGCTGAGCTGACACACAAACAGGTGAGTATTACTCTTCAAAAAGCATCAAAGCTGATCTGAAGGAAAGCGATGGCCTGACACCTGCCTGAAACACTCTGTGCTGGTTTTCCTTTCATTTGTATGTTTAGTTACAAGAACAGACCTGCGACAGATGGTCTGACTCCCCTCAGGGCATGGTCTCAACATCATGGAGTCAGTCTGGGATTACATGAACAGACAGAAGACTGAGACTATAAGACTGAAGCCACAGAAGATGCTGGAACAATAAACATACCAAAAACCTTAGTGCCATTCTCGGACCCAAATCATCGATGTCCTCGGCAGAATGTGTCACTCATTCAACAAAACCTTAAACCCTTTTCACTGAGTCAGACACAATCTGTCCTTCCCTAAAATACTCTAAACACATTCTCAAACACTAAAACACAAAAAAGCAAACCACAAAGATAGAATTGGAGGAAAACTACAACACAGATGTCTGATCTTAAGCAGTTCTCTGATGTAATTTAATCAATATATGCCAGTTTGAAGGATGTCTGAGGTTGATTCCAGCAATGGATGGAAACGCTGAGAGGCAGTGAAGTAATCGGAAGGGCAATCTGTGACACAGCATATTTGTTTACATGGACTCACAATGACAAGAAACAAAAGAAATGACCTCGTTCCACGTTTCTATAACAACAACATAAGGTTTACTTGATTCATGCTTCTTATAACCATGTTGGGGTAATGTGGAACTGACCACTTATAAAGTCTTATGAGCTATTCAATACAAGCAAATGTAAGTGTACAAAGATTTAGTATACATTCCTTCCACTTATCCAGTTCAGGGTGACAGTGGGGCTGAACACTGTTTGTTTCATATCTGAATGAGTGAATTAGGACAAAGAAGTAGGAAGATCGACTGCAGCCACAATCTCAGGTCTTTACTGTATCCTGATATTTCATTTCATCTCATCAGTAAAACTGTAAAACTGGAGCACAACTGGAAATACACACTACATTTTTTATGAATGGTGCAACAAATCTTCACTGGTTCTAGGTGTTATCTGAATGATCATCTGTTATTTTGAGTGGAGGTTTAACAGTTTGGATGTGTTTGTGAGGTTTTACCTGAGAAGTCTTGGCTCTTTTGTGTACACAGCTTTGAGCCTGAGACAGTTAAATCCTCAAAGGATTTCCCTAAAAGTTAAAAAACTAAATCTCATCTTCTGAGCCAAACACGGTGTGCTGATTAGTCCATCATGCTTTTTTGCACATGAATGTGGGAGGACTTTTGTAGTTAATCCTCAGTAGAGTAGTTTAAAAACATTTGTTTCAAAGTGAATGTGATAAATTGTTGTAGGTGTGGGGGAAAAAGCTGCTCAGAAGCATCTCTAAAACATGAATGTTCATTCCATCAAACTGTGCACTTCATCCTCCAGCAGTGAGTTTCTCTTGCATACCTACAGTTTGTCTGAACTCTTTCGAAACAGCACCGCCTGGTGGCCACATGCGCACCCTGCTGTGCTCCCTGCCATCTAAACTCCCTGGCAGGAGGCTTCCTGTCAGCCTGCTGCTGTGCCCACCTGGTCTTCTGTGAGCCGCCTAGACGGGGCGTTGATGCCAAGCTCCTCCAGCGGGTAGATGATCTGGCGTCGTGGGCAGACGGGGACGGCGCAGTTGAGGACATAATGCAGATGGTGGACGCAGGAATTCTGAGTGCAGAGAGAGAGGGCACGGAGTCAGTGAGCACAGAAAGGGAAAATCCCATCGGAGGTTAAACAGCAATCAGTTTGGGGCTTTTTTGGGGGAGGGGGTGCAACTGGAAAGCTACGTGGTGATAACGAGCTCGGGTGAAGAGTTAGATGATACAAGCGTTACACCACTGACACACGCTGCCCAAGCACAGCTTAAACCCCTCTGCTTATCTTCTGCATATCCATTTCACATCACGATCACCCAATCTGGTGCTTGTTTGTGGAAGTTAATTAGCAGAGGACGTGGAAGGTCTCTACACGTTGAGGAAATTTCTTATTATGGCGTGGAGAGGTTGAGCTGGCAGCGCTGTCGACACCTGCTGCCCCGACCTCGGGGACCGGCAGCCTGCTGTAAAAAATGACCTGCTGACAGGCGCAACACGACCACAAACCCGTCTCTCTGATCAAGTTAGACGGCCACGAGCACAATTCCATATCCAACCTGCTCTCTCCATAAATAAAAGTTTGCTGAATTAGAGGAAACCATTATGAATGAATAAAACTCAGTATAAAAACATTTGGTTTTATTTATGTTTTTACAGGGTTGTGAAAAAATTCTCCTGGCTTTCAACAGCTTATTTTCCCTTCCTGCTGCAGGGATGATCTAATCTAATTCTGCCTTTATTCAGACTTTCTGTGACTTAAGTCAAAGTAATCAGTGATAATCCAACACAGAACTAATACAAACTGAATTACTTAACGAATTACTTAACGAATTTATTAGACCACCTGTCATAAAAACAGGAAGGCAAATGTTTTGAAAATCCATTAACAACAGAGAGTACTCAGCCAATGATTATGTCCTACTGTACATTTGCACTATTTTTTTGCACTATTTGCACTATAGTGTTTTCCAAAGTGATTCATGATCAGAACGTAAAACACATTTACATGTATAGATTCATTCCAAAGGGCTCTCATGCCTCAGAACGCATAACAAACCGACATACCGTAACATAGCATCGGTATGTTACGTGATGGGATGAGGACATGTTGCGTGGGTCATATATAGCCTACTTCGATCTTAAGTGGGTTGAACCTGTGAAACTACATGGTAAATGTGCAAAATTGAGAAAAAGTTCTAGTAGTTCAAAGTGTAAAGTTTTTATTAATTTACACAAAATGTTGTATCTTTCTTTTGTTTTTTGTTAATGTGGACTTACTGTAAAAAAACAGACATTTCCTTAGCATTTACTGAAAAAAACAGGAACTTTCCTCTGCAGAGTATGAATGAAACTGGGGAGGTGGTCTTTAAAAGCTGGCTTATGAAAACACGGTTGAAACTTAAAAATCTATATGCACTCCTTTTCCAAAGCCAACCTGTGGGCCGGACTCCCAGGCCAAATCTGGCCTCTGGGCCTTATGTTTTACACATCTCATCTAGACTGATTGTGTACCTTTACTGACTACCTGTACATGCACTATCTTGCTACCTAGACTGGGGTTTTATAGTCACATGATCTGTGTAAAATGGATTTGTCTTTTTTTTTTAACACTTTTTACAGCGTGCACTCGTTAGTTTGTTACACTAATGAGCAGCCTTGCACCCCAGCTGGAAGTGGCCCAGTGGTTAAGGGCTAAGCAAGGACCTGGAAGCCCCGTGCACTCACCTCCTGGCTGTGGTAGGGGGGGTAGATTCGGAGGTACAGGCAGGATTTGCGAGCCTGCCGGAGAACCTCCTTAAAGAAGTTCTTGGAGAAGTGTTGGACGGTGGTTTTGAGGACGAAGTGGAGTATCTGAGCGTGCTCATCGTAGCCATGGTGGCTAAAGTAGATGAAGCTCTCGATGTTGTAGTGAGCACGGATGTACTCGATGTCCTGACAAAGACACAGATTCATGTGAGCTTGACGACAGAGGAACAAATTTCAGGAGTAATATTTTAGGTTTTTCTCCTTTTACATTGTACATTTTGCTTATTGCAGTTCTTTTGCCTTTGTTGCCTATTACTGTGTTATTAGACCATGAAGTATTGGTATGCCATGTCATATAATAGCTACATTATTAAGAATTAATTAAAGCTATTAATATAACTTTAATTAATTTTATTTGTACATTGTCTTTTTATTTATTGTTTATTTTATCTTATTTCAAATTAGTATTTTATTTAATAGAATATTTTCTTAATTATTTATATTGTTTAATTGTTTTTACTGTTGTTGTTGAAGGTTGGCTTTTTGTTTTTGCAAGTATCCCATGTCCACAATGTGTCCTAATTGGCCATTTAGCATTAAAAATTATAAATAAAAACAAATAAAAGCGGCAGATCGATGGAGCATAAAAATGAACATGCAGCACAATTCCTAACGGAAAAAAAAATTCCAGACTTTAATCATGTAAAGCGCAGCTCTTTAGTCAGAGAAGAAGTGAAAAGCCAGGCTAGTGTTTAAAACAGCTCGCTGGCAACTCCATTTACCTTTTATTAGAAATCTTTTTACTCCTTTCAGGCAGAATGGGGGTTTAAATGGTCAAACACTTCACACTTTTACTAATAAACCAGACTTCTAGTACCTGCTCGTCCTTGATGATGACAATCCCAACTAACTCTGCTTCTGCCTGGGCGACGAAGGCCTGCAGTGGAACGGCATCCTGAGGAACAAGTGAACCAAACAAAAACACGTCAAATTTCCGTGATTCCACTGAACTACACACGAGAAGAGTGCACTTTACTTGTAGCTGAGACCAGTGCCATGAATACACATGAAGTGGCTGCATTCTCATTTGAGAAGTAATTATCAGTGTTGGAGCTGCGGCAGTGACAGCTGGGGTGTCAGTCAGAGAGGAAAATCCGTTCAGCTGAATTCTCACCAATCTGTTCCCTGGCACAAGAGCCAATATTCCTCGTTATTCCAAGACAATCATCACACCGCTCCAGTTACACTCGACAGTCCAAATTAATCACCATCTCATTTTTTAAAGTTAAGGGGAGCAAAAAGAGTCTTACCCGCCTTAAATTTACTATATTAACCCTTTGTTGTTGTCTCTGGGTTTGGAGTTCTGTTTGACTTTGTTTATCTCATGATGTGTTTCAGATTTTATGATATTATTTTTTTAACTTTTGGTTTTTGTGTTGGTGCGCAGGGCGGAGTTTTCTGCCTGCCTGCCTCCACCTGTATTACCTCCTGTTTGCTCTTCTTACCTGTTTCCTCCTATCTGCCAACATTCCCTGTCTAACATCCATGTTTCCTAAATTTTGGAACTGCGGTCAAGTTAGTCAAGTTAGTTTAAGAAAGGTTTGGAATGAATGAAATGACCCTGAAGTATCTGCATGGCAGCTGTAATAAGAGCTGTCTGACTTCTTTAAACAGTAAGCAAAGGTGCTTTTATGCTTCCTTTAGCAGAGGACACACTGGAGCATCTTTAACGAAAGGAAAGCAGATACTACTGCTTCAGGATCATCATTAATTAGTTTTACTTCAGAGAGTTACACAAAGGCTGAAGAAAATCAGGAGTTACAAACATAATAAGCTAATCTCAGAGTCACAAAATTTTTTCTTTGATTTCACAGATGAGATGAAGTAGATGTTCCTCTTTGCTTAAAATACAACCTTGATATTAAAGTGATTTTCATATCCAGTTTTGTCAAAGTCTTATTTAAACAGAACTTGTTACGAGTTGTTTCAACTTGTAGTTGAAACTCATTTTCTGCAGATATATCTGAATGTGTGAGTCTTTGTCTGATCTAAAGCACAGAGTCTTTGTGAATCTGACTGCAGGTGTGTTAATAACAGTGTTTGTTGGCTGACCTGGTCACAGCCAGTCTCGTAGTAGCGGTCCAGGTCCTGCAGCAAAGACTCATTCAGACTCAGATCCTTCACCAGAGCAGAGACAGCAGAGCGGTCCAGAGCCACGGCTGGCCTCACGCTCAAAGACCTGTGGGGAAAAAACACTTAAAGAGTCTGTGGAAATGCTTTCTATAGTGCTCTGAGACTTCATAAATGATTTCATGGTATAATCACTATAAATGACTGAACAGTTCATGCTCTGTATCGATGCTGTTTTAAAGAATGTGTTGATCTCTTGGGCTCAGCACTGCAGGAGTACATGGATGATTTTTCAAATTTCACTAAACATACTCAGCCACTTTATTAGATACAGAAGTTCAACTTTACACTAACCAAAGTATCTAACGAGCCAATCACACGGCAGTAACATGATAGATGTAGGGCTGCAGAAATGATCACGACAACCTTCTGAAGTTGAAAAAGAGATTCATAATGGAGGAAGAAATGTGGTTAAGTCACTGAATGTGACATGGCTGTTGTGTCAGACAGCCTGGTCTGAGTATTTCAGAAACTGCTGATTTAGTAGGGGTCTTCCCACACAACCATTTCTAGGGTTTGCAGAAAATGTCAGAAAAAGAGAAAATATACAGTGAACTTCAGTTTTCTGAGTTAAACTGTCTTGTGGCTGTCAGATGTCAGACTGGCCAGACTGCTTCGAACTGATTGGAAGGCAACAGTAATTTAATACAATGAGTTTAAATCAATACAAATAACCACTCAATACAACGAAGGTATGCAGCACAGCGTCTCTGACTGCAAAACATGTTGAACCTTGAAGCAGAAGACCACACCAGTGGATATTAGAGGAAATGTAAATGTTAAAAGTGACAGAGTCATTAGGTTCAAATACACTATCGGTGTTGTTCATTTGTGATTTTGGGAAACAAACAAAACTTGAGCTGTGAGATTTACCTGATTCCATCGCGGTGAAAGATATAGAGCTCATGTTGCGGCAAGCTGGTGGGAATTGACGGCACCCTGATAAAGTTCTGCAACAGGGGGAACTCAGTGGACAGATTTGGAACTGTGATAACGCAGAAGTTCTGGTCCTGCACAAACAAAGATAACACACATCAACAACTGAACAATAATCCATATATGGACAAAAACACTGGGCCACCTACAAATTACACCAACAGGAGCTACACGGCCATGCTCGGCATGAAGCTCCTGGGGTGCAGTTTTGTGCTGATGTTAATGCCAGAGAAGGTTTGGGATGCAGTGCATTGGTGACTTTTATGCAATATACAGCTCAGCGCTGTAACTTTAGATGGTCCTCCACTTTGTCACTGAGTGGCTGTGGTTTCTAAACCGTTCGACTTTGCAATAATGCCACTTACAGCTGATCGTGTAAAATCTAGGAGAGAAGAAATTCCATGAACTGATTTGTTTCAATGGACACATCCTGTTACAGTGCCCGTCCAACTGTGGAGCACCTATCAGAGCCATGCAGTGATTTCTGTTTGTTTTAGGAACGTAATACAATTTTTATTTATATACAGTTTTTAATGATCAAAAACCCCAAATCAAATTGATTCTTCTTCTCTCTCCAGGCCTAGCCATCAAAACAGCACAACTTCAAGGCAGGTTGTACTGAGCAGCCTTGCGATTTTGGTCTTCTGTTCGGAACAGACCATCTAAGAAATTTGTACTTCGCTTTGTTGAGTGAAATTCTAGTATTTTACTAGCTTGTTTCTAATTAGTACTTATTAGCAGTGCCTGTGGGTTGGACCCATATGGTTTATGGAAGCTGACAACTAGTGTTAGCGCATAACTGAGGGTTAGCTGGTTCCTGGCTGTGGCCAAAATGCTAATGCTAAGTTAGTTGCTACATTTGGTATAGCCACCTCTTAAGTAAGTAAGTGTGGGTGGCTCGGTGTTATTGACTAGGAGACTTCCAGACAAAGTTTCTCTGATTACCAAGTGTAGTTGTTCCCTGCCCTTTTTTCTTGTTTTTCCACATCATCAATTATAAATCAACTGAAAAATTGCTAAAATAAAATAAATTTCAAAAATAAATAACTAAACATCTTAATTGCCTGAAACTTTTGGAAAGTTAATTCTCACTTGTTAAAAAAAAGCTTTAATGTACTTAAAAAAAAAAAAAAACATTTTCAGGCATGTGAACCACTCTCAGGTCTAGCGAAAAACCAGGGGTCACTGACATAAGGTAGAGAACATCTGACAGAGCTTTAAACTTGCAAAGATGATACTCACGGGGAAAACCTGGAACAGAAAAGGAATAAAGTCCGCTGATCTGGAAGAGAAGAGGAAGTTAAGTGTAACTACGAGTCTGTGCCAAACTGGTGATCACTGTGGTGGAACAACTGTCCGACCAATCTGCCCGCTGCTTCCAGCTCGACTTCTCGCCTTCAGCTCTCTGTCACTTTAAGCGTTGCTCTCATTAATAACGTGCTCACTCTCGGCAGGAAGCGACTCGACTCCATATTCAGTAACAGCTGGGAGGTAAGGCGGCGGTGAGGGGGGCTCAGCGGGAGCCAACTAACAGTCACTCTCCCTGCTTTAACGCGGCATATGACTGATGTAGCTCTGGACGGCTGCCACCAGCGCTGCCGAGTCACAGCCTCCAAAAAGTGAGAAACATATTTTAATTAAAACATGTAATATTTCTGAATATTTTTCCCATTTTTAAACGGTGATATCTGACAGTCGACATCTGTGAATTTTGCAGAAGTTGCCTCATACCTTTTAATAACTTTAGCTGCTGTGTTTACTTTACTTTTCCATGGCCTGCACATCACTTACATAGCCAATATTCTTTACTAAACAATTTATTATATCTGGATTATGACTTAAAGTGTTTTTATACTACAATTTCAGGTATTTACTTAAAATGTACATAAATTTAGATGCTTATGATGAAAGCAAAGACAAAAGGAATCGCAGTGACACAAAATGTCTAAAATCCAAAAATGAACACAAGAAAATCAGAAAACAGTGTTGGGAAAAATAAAGCAGGCAACACAACAAGCAGGGAGGATAACATATGTAAATTAAATAAGTCAGTATAATAATTTATTTATAAAGTATGGTTTTCACATACCAAAGTGCTGTACAGGGTATGTATATCTATATGCACATGCACACATGCATACATGTAATTACAATACATATAAAAGACTAATTAGGTCCACATCATGTGGACGTCTATGACAGGTGCAGGAAATTGATATAGTTTATAAATGTAATATGTTTTTATTTATCAATATCAACATTGTTGTTATCAATATGATACATATGAATATGGATTATGTATAAACAAACACAATTTGTTATGTGTTGTTAGCCTATCGATGTAGTCAGTGCATGTGGGTTTTTAAAATTTTTTTTTTTTATTTTACATTTGCCTGTTTTTTAATTGATCAACTTATTTGTTTGTAACCAGGTTAAAATGGTAATTTATTCAAATGAAATAATGAAATTGTTGAAATCCATGTTCAAAGGTGAAATTTACAGAAGAGGATTAGGGGCAATGGGGGAAAAAAGAAGTTGGCACGTAATTCTGAGATTAAAGTTAACCTCAGAATTCTGATTTTTCTGAGAAAAATAATTCTGAGGAAAAAGTCAGAATTCTGACTTTTTTTTCAGAATCCTGACTTCAATCTCAGAATTCTGAGTGGGCACCTGTTTTTTTCCTTCTTTTCCAGAATTCCGAGAAAAAAGTCAGAATTCTGAGAAAAAGTCAGAATTCTGAGATTAATCTCAGAATTCTGACTTTTTCCTCAGCATTATTTTTTCTCAGAATTCTGACTTAAATCTCAGAATTTATCAGATTCTGAGTGGGGACATGTTTTTTTTTTTCCAGGATTCTGAGATTAAAGTCAGAATTCTGAGAAAAATTTTTTCAGAAGAAACAGTCAGAATTCTGAGATTTAAAAGAGCAGTCCCGCATTTTATTGTGAAGAACTAAGGATTTTAAGAGGAAGTGAATTTGGCTGTGATCGGTAGCAGGACTGAGAGACGTTGCAAGGGGAAGTATGAGACGTTTGTGCCAGTGCGTACTGGTCTATATGCTCAACTGTATTTGTCTATGCGCACATTTTGCAAACTGTGACAAGCTGAGGACATTTCTGCTCCAAATCTACCAGGGATTCCTACTCTGCATTCCTTTACACTTAACTGTTTCTGTACAGTGAACATGCTCTCCACCTTCTGAAAACATGGGTCTACAGAGCCTATAGAAGCATTATAAAACAAAGTTGTCCACAACAACTGCATATGGCCCGTACACAGAGGTCCTACAGATGTCAACACTAGACATTCAGTAGGTGTAAAAAAAAAAGAAAAAAAAAAGAGGTCAGCTTGCATTACAAAACAACCCCTTCAGTGGACCAAAATTTTATGTCCAAGAATCCAATCCAACTTTATTTATAGAGCACTTTAAAAACAACATGGTTGACCAAAGTGCGTTCCAGTAAAAAACTGTGATAAAAGTTAAGTTAAACCACACATTAAACAGACAAAGAAAATTAAATAGCAATAAAATAAATAAATACATGAAAAAAAGATAAAAAATGAATCAGTAAATATTAAAACATGATTAAAATAGACAATAAAGTATAAAATAAATAAAATTAACAAAGTAAAAAAGATCAAAAGCAACCAAAAACTGACTAAAACTGACTACAAGCTGACTCTGGTCCTACCCCCAAAAAACGCCTTGGAAAAAAGGTTTGTTTTTAAAAGTCATTTGAAAATTTCAAGTGTTGGGGCCAGCCTAATATATGGAGGGGCAACTTTTCCATAATTTGGGGGCCACAACAGCGAAAGTTCTGTCCCCCCAGTTTTTCAGTCTTGACATGGGGAAACAAGGAGTGACTGGTCAGTTCATCTGAGAGACCTTTGTGCACTGTATAGGTGTAGCAGCCCTGCCAGGTAGGCAGGCCTGGCCATTTAAAACTTTAAAAGCAATCAATAAAATTAAAAAAAAATTCTAATAGACAGACAACCCGTGTAAAGAGGGAAGAACGGGGGGTAATGTACTCATGTTTGCGTGTACATTTTAAGGTTATAAACAGGTAAACCATGTGACAAAACTGGATCCAGAGTGTGTCCATGTTTATGTGTGGGACCAGTCGCAAACATTAAAAGCATCAAGTAAAAAAGTCCTTTGCCAGTGGTTTAGTAGAATGTCTTATAAAAGAATTAACTCTGACGGCACTTTTTTGTGACAACAGTACAAATGGAAATGCTCAACTTTAAGTAGGGCTGGGTGATGGAAGAAAACCTATATATCACAATAATTTTTTTTTTTTGTTATATTGCAACACTCGATATATATGGTGATATGGCTTGTCTCTTTGTTTTGCAAATTACCGCATTTTGTTCGACATCCTCCCAATATCGCCATATTTTTCCCTATCTGGTAGTATATAAACCATACAAACACGCATGCTCAGCGCAGTGTGCTGGATAGAAAATGTTGCATTTGAATCGTGTGGGAGGAAAAAAGGTCATCTGTGATGGTGATAAGGAAGTGGATCGCTTAATCACAAGGTTTTTAAGTGTTTTTAAAGATTAGTTCTGAAGGCTTTGTGCCTTCATTGAAAAGAGCCAGCACAGGGAAATGGGGCACTTTCCTGGAGAGGAAGAAGGGGAATGAGGTGAGGATTCAAACGCAACTCAGCCACACTGATGTGGAGCTCAGAGTAATGATGTAATACATCAGGTTTTAGATACACGCAGGACACTTATCTGAAGTATTTGCTGTCGGTTTTAAGGTTTTAAATGTCAGCTTTATTCTGAAAGCTTACCTCAGTTCATAATTCTTGTCAATAACAAAGATCTGAATACAGAAGGTGTTGGATTTTTCTGAAATCTCAGCCTCCTCCTGCTGAGATGTGTGACAACAAACACAAACAGACTTCAGACTGTATAGTACGACTGTGTTCATCTGTTCTTAAATTATCTGAGCAATAAAAATAAAAAAGGAAGGATTAGATAGACAAACAGAGAAGGGTGCTTCTTTCATTTCATCTTAATTTCCACATCTTTATATTGTTTTGAGCAGTGATCACATTTTGCTGTCCAACATCTTAGGAGTGTTTTGGAGCAATAAGAAAAGTTTAATCATTTCTCAGATATGAGATAGGTTTGGTTTATTTACCTGCTCTGCAGCCCGCCTATGTTCATCTTCATCAGACTGAGCAGGAACTTTATGATGTTTTGTTTTCTGCTCTCTGATCAAACCGTCAAACTCACTCAGTTCAAATCTGCCAAGGAGCCACTTCAGGTTGACATCAGCACTGGCACAGATGAAGCCAACGGCGACTCCATTAATCTACAGAAGAAACACATGCTGTATGATCATACTAATGTAGCACTGCTTTCTTTTTCTCTCAGTGGTTTATCACTTCCTGTTTTATTCTGGTTTCCTGGCTTCCTCTGTTTTTCCTCCTTTTTTTCTTGCCAACACAAAAGTCTGCGTCTGAGGCTTGATTTACCTTTATCAAATGACCGCAAGAATGCTCAGTCTTACATTTAATAAGATAACACAGACTCATAGCTTAAGCTTTCTGTCTTGACCCCAAAGACCAGTTGTGAGCCAGGAGAAACCCTGATGTGTGTAGATAATCTCTAGAAGGTGCTGCCCAGAAGCAGAAATTTCATCAGGTTTTTATATTGTTTTACTTGTGTTCCTGAATGCATTCACCAGGCGCTCAATAAATGAGACGTGCTTCATATTTAGGTTTAGAAATAATTCTGAGGTTCCTGACTTTACAAATAGCATCTGAAAAAACACCTAAAACTTCACTGAATAGCTACTTTCACATTTCCTGTTCTCAACTTCAACAGGACTAAAAATAGATGGCATTTTTTCTGTGCACATCTGCATCAGCTACCGAGTTTGTCTTGCTGGTTTTGGTTGCTGATCATAAGTAGACAAGCTTTTATCACTAACAGACCATCTGAACAGGACGTAAGCTGGAAATAACTGAACGACACATTCTGCAGCTTCACAAACAGTTTCTGGCGTGCGGTGGACTGAAGAGAAAAAACCCTCTGGGACAATGTTGGATTGCGCTGAACATAATCAGACAAAAAGCCCAAAATGCTTCAGATGTCTGGACACAATATGTTCAGTGAGAGCATGCTTTGGCTGGGTATCAGCTCGTATCTGCCATATGCTGCCACAAACACATGTCAGCCCAACGGGCGGGGAGGGGAGAGGAGGATCTGTCGTCTCCCAAGTCCCGAGGGAATGAACCCTAGCGGGGTTTCTGATAGTCACTCGCCATCACAAAGCTGCTATTACAATATTTTTAGACACACATGAAACACATGAGACGCTTAGAACCACACACACGGGGGGGTGAATCAAGGATTAACCCAAAATTAAGAGTAGAAAAAAATCTTTAACATGGAACAAACCTCGCAAACAGCGGTGTGATGCTCCTCGGCCTCAATGAGCGCTGCGAGGAAGAACGGCTGGTGACTGATAGACAGCAGGTTTGTCTGCTCATCAAACAGAGGTATAATGTCATTGTGATCCTCAACCCTGAAAAATGGAAAAATGGAGACACCTACACTTAAAAAGATCACCAGTCAATGTACTATTTCTATTATTCTATTTCTGCTGTGCAGTGTGAACCTGAACCCTGATGCCTGACAGTTATCGTCACCCCTGCAGCTGTACAAACACTCTTTATCCACTTTTGGATCATAGATTAAGATTTTACATTTAGATTTAGCTTTGGGTTCATGTTATTCATTTGCACCTGTAGGCAGATCTGGTTACTCATACATTCACATATCTACAGTTTTTAAAACGACACAGAAAACAGATAAAGATAACACAACACAGGAAAAAAGCAACCGTACCATATCATGTAAGACTGTAAAAGGTACAATTCATCAGGTGGACACAAATAAGAAGGTAATATCTTGTGGAAATTTGATAAAACAGTTCATTTCTAACATTTCAGTGCAGCTATGTAGTGTAGTGGTTTACGCATTCATGTGACAGGCAAAAGACCTACAGCCCCAGATCCCCTTGGGATGTCTGAGGAAGGGTATCTGGTGCAAAAAGTCTGCCAAAGAAACATGTGGAGCTTCCCTCTGTACTTCCTACTACTGAGAGAAAGTTCTTCTGCCACCTGGTGGCCAAAAAGAAAATAAATTCAGCTTTAACTTTACCAGGTGTGCTGTGGAATGATCACTTTTGCTCAGGGAGGTATACACACACACACACACACACACACACATATATATATATATATATATGTGTGTGTATATGTGTGTGTATGTATATATATATATATATATATTACATACATATACACACACATATATATATATATATATATATATACATATATAATTACCCTCATTGTAATTACTGTTGAATTTTCCATCACAGCTTGCTAATAATATGCCAAAGCGCTGTAAAGTTATATCAACTTTATCTACTTATAAAGTTGTTTCCTTGTTAGATGCACTTTATGACAGATTTAGAAAAATCCTTAACAAAGGCAAGAATTTATGGATCAGGAAAGCTATTTAATTTCCCCTTGTCACTGGAAAAGGTAATGAGCTGGCTCCACTGTTCTCCTGAAGTTCCTTCTGTCTGTTTTGCATTTTCTCTGTTTTCTCTGGCAGTTCTACGTTTACCACTCCTAAAAACATCCTTGGTTAAGCCTGCATCTTCTGTGCCAGAACTCTTAAGCATTATTTAACAGCCTATTGTAAGTTCAGTCATGAAATAAACTGCTGTGCTCATAGAATCTTAGTTCCTATGAGTTCTTCATCACATCTTACATCAAAATTCAAGTGAATAAATGTTTATTTATAGTACATATAGTGCTCTTTTATTCACTCTACTGTTTAGTAGCCTGGGAAGGAATCAGTGGAAATCACCTGGCTGCGCGGACAATAGGCCGGGGACAGTGAGCTTTTCTGTGGCAGATCAGTGCCAAGCACTGAGGCCCGGGGTCGGTCACACGCTCCAACGGCTCAAATATTTCATCCAGCGCTGGCTCTGCAAGCACAAAAAACACCTGCATGGGCCTCTTGGAAATTAATGCTTAAGTGAATTATAGAATTTAACTTGCTAAATCGAAATCACCTAAACTACCAACGTGTGGGCTGAGCAGACAGACGTATTCAAGCTCAGCAATGGCGTTAAAGATGGCCCTGCGAAACAAAGCGCATCAAGAAAAATGATCATTTTACACATAATGCATTCAGCTTTCAGGACGTGCATACTGTGCTTGCTTCTAATCAAAGTGCATTGTAGTATCTCCCTTGCACTGATATATGAATCTCATCGAATGATACAAGAATTTTTTTAAAAAGGGCTTTTTTTTTTATCATACCTCATTATCTCTTTCACACTTGCTGTGGTGAAATTCGGCCGTGCCACAAAAAGGTGGAGGAAAAGTGTGTTGAAAGGCTGCAGAAAGACGATAGTTTAATCCACTGCAGGTGTGAGCTCAGTTCATTTCATTTCATCTAAGCAGAGCATGGGCACTTGGCCACATTATTTCCAGCAGATGTTAATTGTCTCTACTTAATGAAAACCTTATGTTAAAATCAGTGAATAAAAGGTACAGACTGTGCATTGTCCAACACTGAAGTGTTCCTGCATGAAAGCTTCCCACTGCGTCTGATCCACCAGATCTCCAATAGGGTGATCAAAGAAGGAAGCGTGGCCTAGGATGTCGCCCTTTTCATTGGTCAGAGTCACAGCCAGGTTAGCTTTCTCTCTGAACAAACATGACAAGAAAGTTCAGTGATGGTCTCTGTAAGGGTTTGAAATTAACTGAGAGCACAGATGTCTACATTAATCACCACATAACTGTGATGAGAGAGTGGCATCCACCACATGTTATCAGAGACAACTTGGTCCTCTTGGATCCTCCAAAGGAAAACTGAAAGAAATAGTTTGAAGCAGTTGCTATGACCGCCAGGTGGAAGTGGGAGAGCTGAGAGAAGAGCACCAGTTGAGGTGGTTAAAGCGTGTGAATCCCTCTTAGGTGAGGTGTTTTGGGGACCACACTGCCCTTAGAGGTGGGGAAAAAATCAGTATATCATCGTATTACTAAATTTTGTGTGGCAATATTGTTTTGATACAATAAATTAAAAATATTCTTTGAATACAATGAACAAGAGGCGTAAGCCCACACACCACCATTCTCTGATAATGTTACCTGACATTATGAAAAAATTTCAACTGTGTAATAAAAATAGAAAAAAAATCTAACCCAGAGCTTTACAAAGTTACCCCCCCCCCCCCCCCCCCCCAACAAAAACAACAACAAAAAAACGAAAAACAACTGATTGCCACTTGTGGTGCAATCAGCAATCATTGCCTGAAGCTCTCACAAACACTTTTGATCACCAGGCGATTGCACAGGTCGCCTGATAGGAGGCAACCTTTCGGCAAACAGTTGTAGTCTGACTTTGACCGACTGCAATCATTTGCAGAGAGATTTTCGAGACCTAACTCCCATCCCCTCCAACACTATAATTCTCCTACAGTTCTCAGCATGAAAACTGATGTGAGCAAATAAACAAGAATAGATATTACACTATTCTATTCTTGTTTATTTGCTCACATTTGCTTAGACATTACACTTAAGACAAGAATAAACCACCAGTCTGTGCAGAACAACAGTAATGTTATATCACAGCTATATATCAAAGAGACGATAGAAATCTTTTCAGAGACTGCATAATTCCAAAATAATTATCTAACAGTGTTTAAAACAACTTATTCAGCTTGTAGGTGTGTTTGTGTGCAGAGAGCATCTAGTTTACGGTCTAAACTCTGCTGCTGAGATGTTTAAGAAGAAAAACTTTTCTCACAGCAGATGAATAACATTGACTCTTCCAAACACCGCCTGCGCAGATGGACTAATGAGGCCGTCTATCTCTTCAGCGTCCGCGGACTCGCTTCTCCTCACGGTCACGGTTTCCTCCCGGGCGCTGTCTGAGGTTACAGTCTGCATCGTCACCCGTATTATATGGATAAATAGTAATAACAAAACTAAAGCAGACAAAAGACGGCCCTTTTGTAATAAACTATAATATCAGGCTGGTGGATAGAAGAAGGTGAAATAGTAAATAAATATAAATGAATTCAGCTCACTGTTTTCACCTATAAAGAAACCAAACCCAGTTGCCATAGTAACGTAACGCCAGAACTCCCGCGGTTTAACCGGAAGTCATAAAGCAAACTTTTAAAGAACTAAAATCAGTCTAGAAACGAGTTTTTAGTCTTCATCAAAACTTCCTTAAACTGGACAAATGAACTCAACTGAAGTCCGTTATAGTGAATATATTCTCTATATCGGACAACGTACATATAAACTATTCAAAATGGCATTGGCGAACAAACGGTAGATGGCAGCAACACGTCTGCGTTTTGAACAAAAAGACAAAGAAGAAGACGCGGGGCATTGTGGTTACTGTCATGGTGGCTGACGCTCGGTGAGACGGAAACGTTTCGCTGTCTTTTTGCGCCGTTCGGTAGTTGTCGGGACAGTTTAAGTGAGGTTTTTAACGTTGTTTGTTGGTTAAACCTGCCATCAGAATGGCGTCTACGGCGGCAGGGAAACAGCGGATACCGAAGGTGGCGAAGGTAAGCGAACAGAGCAGTATCAGAGCTCCAGGCTAATGCTAACATAGAACTCGGGCTAACGGAGCAGAACTAAAATCTAATCTCATCTTTTCACTGCCAAGGTTACTCACAAAAACGTGCTACACTATAGTAGTTTTAGGGGTATTTTACCTGCTTAACAGGTAGTTCTGTGGTCTGAGTTTCACACAAGTTACATTAGCTGTAAACTTTCACCACGCTCTGCTTTGTTTTGGCTTCCATGTGTTTTACGTGTGCTTAATTTATTCTTGTTTATATTAAGATTTAAAATCTGGCACATTTGCGTTCCTTTGTGTCTTTAAAGTTAGAAATGTGTTTAAACATGTATGCAGTTTCTGAAAAATGACTATTATAGTAATAGGACTGTGTGGACTGTGATTGTGTTTGCAGGCGACAGTGTGATCTGTATTGAGAGTAGGGAGCTTCTGGAGGTATATGGAAGCAAGACAGAATACATGTGTGTAAATGAGAGGGAGACGGGTGTACCAGTGAAGCTGAAAGCAGTAGAGGAATTGATGGTGGATGAGTTTGAGTATCCGAAGTCAACCATCCAAAGCAACGGACAATGCGCAAGAGTGGTAAAGAAGAGAGTGCAAGCAGGGTGGAGAGGAATGTCAGGGGTGATTTCTGACATGATAGAGGCAAATGAGAAAGGAAAAGCTTACAAGATGACAGTGAGACCTGCAGTGATGCACGGTTTGGAGACTGAAACTCACAGGAAGCAGAGCTGAAGGTCAGAAACAGCTCTCACCAGTTACTTTGAAGACAAAGTTAGAGGCAGAGATGGTTCCAACATGTGCAGAGGAGGGCTAGTGGATATACTGGTCAAAGGATGTTGAAGGTGGAGCTGGCAGGCAGGAGGAAAAGAGGAAGATGGATGGATGCTGTGAAGAAGGACATACAGAGGGTTGGTATGACAGAGGATGATGCTGGCATAGGGTGAAATGGGGATAAATGAGCCATTTGTGACTCCTAAAGCAGCGGTCCCCAACCTTTTTTGAGCCATGGACCGGTTTATGCCCGACATTATTTTCACGGACCGGCCTTAAGGTGTTGCGGATAAATACAACAAAATAAAACTAGTACCGGTACCGGGGAAAAAAAGAAGATTTATTCATAACACACCTGAAAAGACCCAGGAAAACAGAGTTAACGATAAAAACGATAACAAAATAACGCTGAAAACCGATAAAAACCCTGAAAACCATACATTTCACACCTGAGCTTCAACTCTCGTGGCCCGGTACCAAACGACTCACGGACCAGTACTGGCCCGGGGGTTGGGGGCCCGCTGTCCTAAAGGGAGGAGTCAAAAGAAGAATAAGATGATGATGGAACAGTCGCCTCAAGGTGCTTTATATTGTAAGGTAACATAAGCGATTAAAAACTCCAACAATCAGGAGAACTTGGTATCTATGGGGAGGAAGAACTCTATTTTAACAGGAACCAGCAGAAGCAGGTTCAGGGAGAAGCTGTCTGCTATGACCAGTTGCGGGGAAGAGAAGAAAGACCAACTTTATGCTCACGCTAATTGTATTTTGTGATGTGTTTTAGGTGAAGAATAAAGCTCCGGCAGAGGTTCAGATCACTGCAGAGCAGCTGCTAAGGGAAGCCAAAGAGAGAGAGCTCGAACTCCTGCCACCACCACCGAAACAGAAGATCACCGATCAGGAGGAGCTCAATGACTACAAACTGAGGAAGAGGAAGGTAAGCGCTTCCATCATATTTTCTCTGCTGGTAGTGTTCACATTGCTCTTACTCATACCGCCCTTTCGGCAAGAATTTTTAACAGCTTTATTTATGTTTTAAAAAGCCAGCATAAAATATTTGAAGTGTGTTGCTCTCTTGTTTTACTTTTGCTCTAATAATCATGTTTAGTTAAACAAATGTGTTTGTAGTTTTAATCTAACCGGAAAATTTGAGATGTTTCCAGCACACACAAATATGTTTTTATAGTTTTTGGACATGACGAATATCTTTTTCTTTCAGAGCTTTGAGGACAACATCAGGAAGAACCGGACCGTCATCAGTAACTGGATCAAATACGCACAATGGGAGGAAAGTCTGAAGGAGATCCAGAGGTACTGAGGCAAAATCTGCTGAAAGTCAGAATATTAAATGGCTACAACTTCGCAGGGGTCCAATCACAAACATCTTAGTCTTGGTCGTACTGAAATAAGTGGAATTGGTCATCACATCTTTTAACATTTTAGTAAACTTTTTAGAAATATTTCTCATGCCCATGTGTCTGCATGGTCCACTTTTACCTCACCAACGGTTACCCTCGTTTCAGAGCTCGTTCCATTTACGAGCGGGCGCTAGATGTCGATCATCGCAACGTCACTCTGTGGCTAAAGTACGCCGAGATAGAGATGAAAAGCCGCCAGGTGAACCATGCCCGCAACATCTGGGACAGAGCCATCACCATCCTCCCCCGAGTCAACCAGTTCTGGTAGGACTTAAAAATCATTTAATTGCTTTATTTATTTCTTGATTGTTTTGTTTTCTAAAATATCAGCAGGCTTTGACAAGTGGCACAGTCACAATTTTCAGTCCTTTTTTGTATTTAAAGATTAAATAAATGCATTTGTTGGCTGATACTTTATTGACGCTTATCTAACAATAGAGTAGCTGAGATGTAATCGGACGTAAACAATGTGTTTTAAACTTTGAAAAGTGCATCGAGTGTGAGTGTGAGTCTGCTTGTGATTGTACAGCTCTGATGGAGAGTCTTTGCTGTGCATCTGTTGTCTGTTTTTGTTAAATCTTCTGTGTGTAATATTTTGAATGCTGTTCCTTTGCACAGGTACAAGTACACCTACATGGAGGAGATGCTGGGAAACATCGCCGGCTGCAGGCAGGTCTTTGAGCGATGGATGGAATGGGAGCCTGAAGAGCAGGCCTGGCACTCTTACATCAACTTTGAGCTGCGCTACAAGGAGGTGGAGAAAGCCCGCACCATTTATGAGCGATATATCCTTTTGTTGCTTTACTAACATGCAGGATACTGGGAATTGTTTCCCCACAGTTAAATTCAAACAATATAATAAAACTTTAAAATACAGAAACAAAAAGCGCGATCAGGGTGATGGTCTGAGTCGTCCCACAGAGCCTGAGTTCACTATTATCAGGGCTGTTTTCTTCTCAAAGCTACAAATTATGTTCTCTGAAAGACAACAGAGGTTGCTGTCAGACTTCCTCTTTATATGTTTATGTAAACTATAATATCACTTTTTATCAACTCACCTTCAAGGTGGAAGAATAAACCCTAAAATACTGATTAACCTTGAGGAATGCCTTTTCCTTGCCTCACCTGGTTCCCCGTCTCTGTGTGTGGTCGGGGCTTCACAAGCCACACAGAACCATCTCTTCTGTTGGAGCATTTCTCCCCAGTTTTCTTCATCCTCCACCTCCATCTAGCTGTCTTTACTGTTGCTGAACACTTTATTCATGCTATTATTTTATTGATTGTTTTATCTCACGACCTTTGTGATGGTGCGTTTAACTTAACGTCGCTGCACTTGTCATCGTTCACCCTGAGGTGAAAAACTGGATCAAGTACGCTCGCTTCGAAGAGAAGCACGGCTACATCGCCCACGGCAGGAAGGTGTACGAGCGGGCAGTGGAGTTCTTTGGGGAGGAACATGTAGATGAAAACCTCTTTGTGGCCTTCGCCAGGTTTGAGGAGACTCAGAAGGAGGCGAGTGCAGCTCAGACTTCTCAAACTTCTTTCTGGCTTTCATTTTGTTGGAGATCATATTGTGAAATGTATTTATTTACTTTTGTTCTCTACCTTTGCAGTTCGAGCGAGTCCGGGTGATCTATAAGTACGCTTTGGACAGAATCCCTAAACATCAGGCACAGGAGCTCTTCAAAAACTACACCATGTTTGAGAAGAAGTTTGGAGACCGCAGAGGAATCGAGGATGTCATCGTCAGCAAGCGAAGGTTCCAGTACGAAGAGGAAGTTAAGGTATCAGTTTTAAGGAATTACGTCTGGAAATCTGTAGAAAGTGGAACAAAGGAGGAAGATGGGTTCATTTTCCTTGTCTACAGATTTAACGCCCTGATTGGTTTGTTTTCTCTGTACTGGTGTAAGAAACAAAATAGGCTTCGTATTTGGGGTTTTCGCTTAATTGTTAACTTGCAGGTTTTATGTCACCTACTCTGCTGTTTGGGAAAGTTACGGGGAAAATGAAATGCTAAAAAAATAAATCATACACTCATAATCCCAGGCGAATCCACACAACTACGACGCCTGGTTCGATTACCTCCGTCTGGTGGAGAGCGACGCCGACGCAGATACGGTGAGAGATGTCTATGAAAGAGCCATCGCCAACATCCCACCCATCCAGGAGAAGAGACACTGGAGGCGATACATCTACCTGTGGATCAACTACGGTCTGTATGAGGAGCTCGAGGTCAAGGTGGGTCCATCATTCGGCATCTTGTTAACCTCCAACAAAGTAAAGGACACAGATCTGAATCATGTTCTCAAGCAACAGACATAACCAGGCTGTA